CTGGTTCCTAGTTTATCATTAATTTGAGCTGTGATCAGAAGCAGCTTCTAGGGGAATCTATGGGCCTTGACTATGTAGCAAAATCCTTGTATTCATTTTTATTCATCAAAATTATACAGCTTGAGGAGGAGTCATCTTTTTGACAATCCACAGATATAAATGCCCATTAGATAGAGATGTTTTCATGAGATAAATACACTACAATACAGGTAGTGGGGGACTCCCCACACCATATACATTGTAGCAGCAAGCATGCAGGGACACAACAGAAGCAAAATACATTCTGGAGTCTGTATTCTCCCAAGCCTTGCCTAAGCGACACATACCCATCAGAGTTTTTCTTCTGGTGGGCTGACACCTGAACTTCAATTGCCACCTGCTGTTCTTCTGACAGGGCTACCAGCTACCACAAGCCCAGTCTCTCTTCTCTACCTGCTGCCTGCTAATATATATGTAATGCTCTTAGCTCCTGCTCCAGTGCCATGTGTATCTGTTTCCTGCCATGAAGGTCTTGGACTCTACTACCCTTGGGAAACATGAGCCCCAAGTTAAATGCTTTCTTTTATAAGAGTTGCCTTGATCATGGTGTCTCTTCACAGCAATAGAACATTAAAGACACTCATATCTGAAGATTCAAATCTAGCATCCACAAATAAGAGAAAATGTGGTCTTTCTGAGTCTGGATCATCTCACTCAGTATAATCTTTTCTAGTTCCATCCATTTATCTGCAGATAAATTTTTATATATTTATCAGCTGAATAGTGTTCCATTGTGTATATGTAGCACATTTTCATTATCCATTCACCAATTGAAGGATATTTAGGGTGTTTCCTAGATCCTAGATAGTGTAAATGGAATGGCACTGAATGTAACTAAGCAGGTATCCTATGTAGTAGGATGTCAAAAACTTTGGGCAATATGTAGCTCAGGCTCCCTTAAAGCGCATGATGATCCTCTTGCCTGTGCCTCTCAAGTGCTGAGATTATAGCATATACCACCAAGCCCCATTCTCTTAAGTAATTCTTATAAATATCATATCAGACTTACAGTGACACTTGTGTTCTCTTAAATGTCCCAAACTGTACAGAAACTTTGGCTAAAAATTACAATCTGTAATCAATTACACATCTTAAAGTAGAATAGTAAAATTGATCTATTACTCTAATACATAATTCTCTTATATCAAAATCCAAATTGATGAATATTCATAATTATTGTTTTTATCCTTGTAAACATTTCCATCTTAATGTCCTATTTTCTCAGGGTTGTAAATTGCTCACACACAGTGGTGGTTTGAAAGAAAAATGGCCCCAAAGGGAGTGGCACTATTAGGAGGTGTGGCTTTGTTGGAGTAGGTGTGGCCTTGTTGGAGGAAGTATGTCACTGTGGAGATGGGCTTTGAGGTGTCATATATGCTCAAGCCACACCCAGTGTCTCAGACCACTTCCTATTGCCTATGAGTCAAGATGTAAGAACTCTCAGCTCCTTCTCTAGCACCATGTCTGCCTGCATGCTGCCTTGTGTCCTGCCGTGATGATAATGGACTAAATCTCTGAACTGTAAGCAAGCTACTACACTTAAATGTTTTCCTTTATAAAGAGATGCCATCATTATGGTGTCTTTTCACAGCAATAGAAAACCCTAACTAAGACACATGCTAACAAAACACATTATCCTATACAATTTTGGGGGATTCCTTCTCTTGTACTTTTTAGAGCTTCCTTTTCAGTTCAGTAAAATTCCTCATGATGGGAGAATAATGGTTAGAATGCACTGGACTTCCAGAACATGACTGCCCTACTCTTCTACTTCTCAGGTTATTTATCTTTAGTATCTGGATGGTTCCTTCACATTATTTCCCCAGTCTTTGGTGCTAGGCCTCTTCGCCATCTGCACCGTCTCCCTTAGTAATCTACTCTTTGTCTTTAAATATCATCTCTATGTGGATAGCATTCACAGAATTCACTTATCTAGCTTCCTGCTCAGTGCCCCCATTTAGATGCATAGTAAGCATAATAAACTTGTGTTTGTGATGGTTAGTTTTAATTGTTGACACACTCTAGAATCACCTGGGAAGAATCTCAATGACGGAGTGTCAGTGTTCTGTGTTACAAGGGACAATCAAAAAGAGTGGGTCACTCCAAGACGCAATTCAAGCTCTCTGGCAGCAGGGAGGAACAGTTTTGAAGAACAGCCATGCAAATGCGTATTTATTGATGGATACACAAAAGTTGTTTTTTGGATAAATCAGGTTCCTCATACCAAAGCCCCTAATCTAATCTATATGTTTTGTGAAGGAAAACATCACATCCCTGCAACTTTAGTCTTTATTGTGTACTGTTTGCAGTACCCAATAATGCAAGACGCTCCAGGTTACCATAAAATCAGGCTGAGCCAAGTCGTTCTTGTCTACTCATGGATGGTTTTTTCCCTGCCTGCTGTAAAGCCTGCAGGGAAATCACCACAGATAAGTCTGCTGTTTGCCTGACAGATAGGATAACCTTATATTCTATCTTTCTTTTATCTTACCTAGCCCAGAGTCTTATAGATAAATAGATGAGGATCAAATATGCTCAAATGAATTAATGTGAAGAGAACTAAAAGTCAGAAAATCTGGAGTGGTTTAATTATATTTTAGTATTCTAAATAATGTTTTTTTTATTAAGTGCTTATTATGATAGTTTCTATATTGACCAATATATGTTTAATCCTTACAAAAACCCTACTCCACTTTATATAGCTACGATTACCAATTGCCTATTATAATTTACAGCACAATATTGATGCAAAGATAAGTCCTCATATATGGAAGTATCAAGATTTGAACCCAGAAAGTTCAAATCCAGAGTTTTCATGTGGTCTTTCTAGAACACCGCCTCCAGTGCCTAGTAGAATCCTTCTGGAATGTTATGCGGATAGTCTGAAATTTTCTGAATCATTCCATATTTTAGAATTAAGCTAACTGTGGGCTAGAGTTTAAGTTCAGTTGGTAGAGTGCTTGTCTAGCATGTACAAAGGCCTGGGTTCTATCCCTACCATGACATAAAGCCAGGTGGTGCATACCTATAATCCCAGCACTCAGGAGGTAGAAACAAGAGGGTCAGGTTTCTTAAGGTCATCTTAGGCTATATATCAAATTTGAAGCCAGTCTGGGATATATGAAAACCTGTCTCAAAATTTAAAAATAAAAGTAATCTAACCTAGGCTCCATGGCTGTATATCTATATTATATTAATAATATTTTGTGTTTGCTTGGGTATCTGTCCCATTTTGTTTTTTCATATGGCCTATGACTCTCTTATCACATTAGAGATTTCTTTTAGTTTCAGGGAATATATTTTCTTAACACATCATCACAAAGCTTGCATTTTTATTGATTCTTAATATATTTTTGTGAAAATAAATTCACTCTCACATCACCATAATAGCAAAGATTTCCCCCCATGACCAGTAAAGATATCTTCTGCTGTAATCATCTCAGTTCTCAGCTTTGTTGAAGAGATATTAGCATGGTGTATTAGTTTGCTTTCTCTGTTGCTGTGATCAAACACTGACAAAAAACAGCTTGTGGAGGAAAAGGTTTATTTCATCTTACAAATTACAGTCCATAACCAAGGGAAGCCAGAGCAGGAGTTTAAGCAGAAACCTGGAGGCAAGAGCTGAGGCAGAGACCATGAACGAATGCTGCTTACTGGCTTGCTTAACTATCTTTTCTATATAGCTCAGGGTCACCTGCTTAGGGGTGTGTAGGCAGGGTTTTCTGTCCCGTCAGCCAACTCCCAAGTAACCACACGGAGACTTCTCATTGATTATAAATACTCGGCTGATAGCTTAGGCTTGTAACTAGCTCTTATAAGTTAAATTAACCCATATTTCTTATCTACACTCTACCACATGGCAGTACCTTTCTTCAGCACAGCATGTTCATCTCCTGCTTCCTCTGCATCTGGCTGGCAACTCCTCATGACTCTGCCCTTCTTCCCAGCATCCTCTCAGTCTAGCTCTCCCACCTAATTTCTTCCTGCCTAGCTATTGGCCAGTTGGCTCTTTATTAAACCAATGAGAGTAATACATATTCATAGTGTGCAAAAGGGATATTCCACAGCAGGAGTGTCACCACCCACAGTGGACTAGGCCCTCCTATATAAATTAACAATTACAAAATGCCCCAGTGGGGGTTGGAGAAATGGCTCAGCAGTTAAGAGCACTTGATGTCCTTGTACATGAACTTGATGTCCTTGCACAGTTCCCACCAGCCTCATGGTGGCTAACAACTATTCATAATGCCAATTACAGGGTATTCAGTGCACTCTTCTGGACTCCATGGGCACCTGCACTCTTGGGCACATACCCCCCCCACACACACACACACTTTAAAAATAATAAAAATAAATCTTTGGGACTGGAGAGATGGCTCAACAGTTAAGAGCACTTGGATTCAATATCCAGGATCCACAAAGCAGCTTATAATAGACTAACTCCAGTTCTAGGGGATCTGATGCCCTCTTCTGGCCTTCTTAGGTGCTGCATACACAAGGTGCGCAGATGTACAGGCAGGCGAAACACCCATACATATAAAAAATAAAAAATAGATGAAACTTTAAAAATAATATTAAATTAAAATCATCTATCAATCTTTAAAAAAGAAAGAAAGAAAGAAAATTTCCCACAGGCATGCCCACAGAACAATCCCATTGAGGCAATTCCTCAGTTGAGATTCCATCTTCCCAGATGTGTCAAGTTGACAACTGAAGCTAACTATGACACATAACAAGGATCAAAGAAAGAAAAGAACAATTAACATGTGAAATAGTCTATGTGGACCCTTCCCACACATTTTCAACTAACCTTCACAGTACATCTGGGGCATAAGTGGTGGTGTCCAACTTTGGCAGACAGGGACATAGGCATTCAAGGATTGCTCATCTGTGAGCTACATGTGGGGTGGAAACTAAAATGCTAATATGTCCCATGCAGCCTCTTTTTGTTCACTGCCTAGATGGCTGATTCTGATCCTGGGGAAAGAAACTATGATAACATGCTGAAAATGCTGTCCGACTTGAATAAGGACCTGGAAAAGCTATTGGAAGAGATGGAAAAAATCTCAGGTAGGATGTCTTCCCAAACAAGATTCCTTCCCCTTCTTTCCAATGGCTTCATTGTACCCTGACCTTATCAACCTATATCAAGTGCTTTCTCTGACAAGGGCTTCCCTAACATCCTTCCAACTTTTATAGCTTGTAACTCTTGCAACACCAAATTTGACAGTTACAATGATTGACTCTGAATTACTTTGATTATCTTTCGTGTGATTACATCTAACTTCTACCATTGGACTGTTTCCTTCTTGAGGGTAGAAATAGAAGCATGTAATTGGCATAGCACTAGGTACTAACTCAGATGCGCACCAAAAGGCAAGCGTGGGTCATTATTGCACTAGTGAACAGAAGTTGAACAATCTGTGAATCGTTTAAATAGAAAGGTTTGGAATGATCATGATAAGACTAGTACACTACTGAAAATGGCAGCCACAGCACTGGAATAAAGCATCAACAGGATGGGTCTATTTCTTCATTCTTGGGAAGGAATATTGTATTATTTTATTCAACATGTTTCCGTGAAGCAGTAATAGCAACAACATTATAATTTCATATGTTCTTAATTCAAAATATGTATAATTCTAGAGGCAGGTGGATTTCTGAGTTCTAGGCCAGCCTCGTCTACAAAGTGAGTTCAAGGACAACCTGGGCTACACAGAGAAATCCTGTCTCAAAATAAAATAAAAGACTAAAAAAAATACATATAGCCAGGCAGTGGTGGCACATGCTCTTAATGCCAGCACTCAGAAGGCAGAGGCAGGTGGATCACAATGACTTTGAGCCAGCCTGGTCTACAGAGCCAGTTCTAGGACAGCCAGGGCTACATAGAGAAACCTGTCTCGAAAAGCAAAAAAAACAAAACACAAAAACTCTTATAATCTGTGAGCCAAAATTTTGCTGCAGAAAACGATGGGGGAAAAAGTTTTACAGGACATATATACTTTCCTCAAATGAAACCAAATTTGGAGCTAGCAAGATGGCTGAGTGTGTAAAGGCACTTGTCACTGACCCTGACAACCTCAGTTCAACCCCTAGAGCCCTCACAGTTGGAGAGAGTTGACTCTTACAAGCTGTCGACCTCTGACCTCCACACATGCACTATGGCATGTGAGCACGTACACACCAACACACACACAATTTTAGGTAAATTATTCATTGCAGATTGTAAACATTTCTGCTTAAAAATGTTTGCATATATAGATATGTGAAAATTTTAAATACATTTTAGTTATCCTTTACTAAGATGTATGTAATTAATTTTCCACTGCAAAATATAACTCCTTCAAACAGAGTAGTGTCACACACCTGTAATACCAGCACTCAGGTGGGACCATGGCAGCAGGTAGGCATAGCACTGGAGCAATAGCTAAGAACTTGCAACTTGAGAAACAGCCACAAGACAGAAAGAGCTAACTGGGAATGGCATGGGCTTTTGAAACCTCAAAGCCCATCCCCAGTGCCATAACCTCCAGCAAGACCACACCTCCTAATCCTTCCCAAACAGGTCTGCCAACAGGGGACTAAGGATTCAAATATATGAGCCTGTTGAATGGGGCCATTCTCAGTCAAACCACCACATCCATTATTTTAAGATTTTGTGTTACTCATGAAGTTCTGTGTGTGTGTCTGTAAATGTTTGTGTAGATATGTATACACATGTGTATGCATACATGTAGAGACCAGAGATCAATGGCATGTGTCCTCTAGGATCACTCTCCACCTTATTTTTTGATACAGACTATAAATGGAGGCAGAGTTTTCTGTCCTGACTGCCAGTCCCAAATAATCACACAAAAGCTTATATTAATTACAAAATGCTCGTCTGTTAGCTCAGGCTTATTATTAGCAAGCTCTTACATTTAAATTAGCTCATTTCTATTCATCTATGTATTGCCACGTGGCCGTGGCTTTACCGGTTCTGTCGCATCTAGCTTCTTGGCCTGGCTTGTCTCTCTCCCTTGACTCCTCCCTTCTTCTACCCCTCCTTAGTTTGGTTTTTCCGCCCAAACTTATCCTGCCTGGCTACAGGCCAAGCAGCTTCCTTATTAACCAGTGAGAGTAATACATATCCACAGCATACAGAAGGGTCATCCCACAGCAACAGACTCTCTTTAAACCTGAAGTGTGTTGATCCAGCTTGGTCAGCTGACCGTTAAGCCCTAGGGATCCTCCTGCCTCCACATCCCCAGAGCTAGGATTACAGGCAAGCATCTCCATGCCCCGTGTTTTACATGAATACTGAGGATCCAATGTGGCTCCTTATACTTATTTACACAGGAAGCACTTTCCCTAAACCATCTTCCCAGGCCTCAGCCCCCTTGGAAGAGGGGAGAGGGCCTCACTGTGTAGCCTAGGCTGGCCTGGAACTCACTATGTAGATTAGGCTGGCCTCCAACTCACAGAGATCTTCATGCCTTTGCTTCCCAAGTGCTGGTATTAAAGGCATGTGTCACCACACCAGGCCACCATGAAGTTCTTATATAAGATAGCTTAGCTACATTGTTATATGTCAGGTTTTAAAAGAGTAGATGTCACACAGCTGTTGATGATGTTGTTGTTATCATCACCATCATTACCTTTCAGGAAGTTCACTCTCCTCAGACCTTTTTCATATTTTCTGACTCCGGGCTTTCCTCCTGTGTTTGATCTTCTGGGCAGTAACAGATTCATTTACTTAATATTCTGTTTGGATTTGTGTTAAACCTGAACATTATGGTATTCGTTAGATTGTTGTTTTCCGGGGCTGGGGGTTGAACCCAACTTCATATGTGAAGTAAATGCTATGTTCCAAGCTCCTTCAAACTCACACATTATTGTGGGACAACGATGTTTTGTTTGTTTGGGTTTGTTGGAGAAGTCTCACTCTTTAGCTCAGGCTGACCTGGAGCTTGCTGTGTAGCTCAAGCTGGATTCTTAATTCCTAGTAATCCTCTTGCTTCAGCCTACCATGTACTGGGATTCCACCACACCTGGCTGGAAAAATGATATTTTTTTTTTTTTTTGGTTTTTTCGAGACAGGGTTTCTCTGTGTAGCTTTGCGCCTTTCCTGGAACTCGCTTTGTAGACCAGGCTGGCCTCGAACTCACAGAGATCCGCCTGGCTCTGCCTCCCGAGTGCTGGGATTAAAGGCGTGCGCCACCACCGCCCGGCGAAAAATGATATTTTTTTCTAAGTTTTTCAAGACAATGTATTCTTATTCGAGAGGGGTGACGCTAAAGTTATTCAAGTATTCATCAAGGTCTCAGTTTTGTAGTATTTTCTAGATTTTTGTCTTTTTCATTTTTTATTTTTTTTGTTTTTTGTTTGTTTGTTTGTTTGTTTGAGACAGGATTTCTCTACATAACTTTGGTTGTCCTGGGAGTCACTGTGTAGAACAGCCTGGCCTCAAACTCACAAAGATCTGCCTGCTTCTTCCTCCCGAGGTCTAGTATCAAAGGCCTGGCTTCTACATATTTTTCTATGCATGTACTTCTGTGGTTTTGTTAGAAATATCCTATTAGAAATGGATATTTGGGGGCTGGAGAGATGGCTCAGTGGTTAAGAGCACTGCCTGCTCTTCCAGAGGAGCTGGGTTCAATTCCCAGCACCCACATAGCAGCTCACAACTGCCTGTGACTCCATTTCCAGGGGATCCGACACCCTTACAGACATACAAGCAGGCAAAAATAAAATAAAAAATAAAAATAAATAAATAAAAAAAAGAAGAAATGGATATTTTGCCACTTGATTTGCTAACTAATACTAGACCCCAGGAAGGTTGCAGGGGTCTGCTGTTTAGTACCCTTGTGTGTTATTGGTGGTGATAATAACAGCTTGTGTTTATTATAGACCACACTGATGTCTTCCATGCTCTAAATACGTTATCTCATCTACTTCTTTTAACAACGTTAGGGGGGATATATACCATTATCATCCCCATTTCCACATGAGGCACCTCAGTGATAGAACGTGATCACCATGTGTGCAATGCCCTGGGTTTATCCCCAGTACCAGCTCTACCTCTTTTCACCCCAAGACAAAAGAAAAAAATGTAGCCAAACCCTAATAAACAGCTCATTAGGTACATTTTTTGCCTCCTAAATTATTCTTGTGATGTTGCTTAATCATCTGCCCCTACCTAACAAAGCTCCCCGCTCCTTCAGTTTTCAGTAAGATTTTCCTCACCTCTCTAAGTTTTTATTGTCGATTCTGGAATCAGTGCACTTAAGGAACTCTAAACTTTTGCTAGTTCTCTCTTCAAAATCATCATATCTTTCCTACTCACTGTCCTTTTCCAAAACTACCCCCAATGGTTTAGGGTTTTGCTCTGGAAGCATCATATTCTTGACACCCAAATCAGTATCTGCTTTTTATTGCTGCATAACCAATCCAAGAGGCTAGACACCAAAGGCATTTATTGTGGCCCAACTTTAGGGGGTAATAAATCTGAACTCAGCAGAGCTGGCTGGTTCTGGCTATGTTTCTCTTGAGACCACAGTCACAGTATCAACCATGGCTTCAGTCTCTGAACACTTGACTAAGTACTGGAAAATCCGTGCTCAGATAGCTGTTGGCAGGAGATTTTGTTTCCCTCTCTTTCTCTTCCTTTTCTTTCCTTCCTTTCTTCTGATGGTGGTGGTGCTAGAGCCTTGGAAATAGTAGGCAACTAGTCGTGTGTGTCAGCTTCTCTGTGTGACCTCTCCATAGGGCTGGTCTTAACTTTGCCTGCCACTTCTCTGTGACAGCATCTACTGTTTACTTCCTTCCCAGCATGTGTCACAATCTCTTATGCCTCGTATGCTGATTCTCTCTCTTCTCCCACCACAACTTACCATGGACTCTTCAGGAACACATCTGTGTCCGCTTTATCCCCTGTATATAGTGCCAGCGCTGCATCCGCAAATGGCCGCCGGAGGCAATCAGTAAATAGTAAATGACAGATTCTGAAGTGGAATGTGATGACACACTCCTGTAATCCTAGTACCTGGGAGGTAGAGGCAAGAGGAACAGGAGTTCAAGGTCATCCTCAGCTACATAGCAAGATTGAGGCCAGCCTGAACTACATGAGACGCTACCTTTACAAAGCAAAATAGGATGGATGTATTTCTGGAGAATCTTCTGGTTAGTTCTTCCTATTCTATATATTCTAAAATATTTCCCTTGGATCTGAAGACAAAGGGCTATGCAAATAACAGAGTGCCTTGCTGTCTGGGTGATTTCTCCTTCCTAACAGTGCTTTGAGCCATACTGCCAGCTAACCTTATCAGTGATTCTAACTAACTACAGGCATGAAGGGGCCTCCTTGTATTTAAAATACAGATGTTGTCAAAGTTATTGGAAACTGCAGAATGTTGTTGGGTTTTTGTTTGTTTGTTTGTTTGTTTTGCTCTTTGCCTCTTACTCTTTGGAGGGCCTGCCACCCAGCTCCCAGATAAATCACACACAGAGGCTTATTCTTTCTTATGAATGCCAGGCCATAGCTTGGCTTATTTCTACCCAGCTTTTCTTAACTTAAATTATCCCATCCAGGGCTGGACGGTGGTGGCGCACGCCTTTAATCCCAGCACTTGGGAGGCAGAGGCAGTTGGATCTCTGGGAGTTCAAGGCCAGCCTGGTCTACAGAGTGAGATCCAAGACAGGCACCAAAACTACACAGAGAAACCCTGTCTCAAAAAAAAAAAAAATTATCGGCTGGAGAGATGGCTCAGAGGTTAAGAGCATTGGCTGCTCTTCCAGAGGTCCTGAGTTCAATTCCCAGCACCCACATGGTGGCTCACAACCATCTATAATGAGATCTGGTGCCCTCTTCTGGCCTGCAGGCATACATGCAGACAGAACATGGTATACATAATAAATAAATAAATCTTAAAAAAAAATTATCCCATCCATCTGTTGCCTCTGGGCTTTTCTTTCTCTATTTCTGTATACCTTTTTTTTTTTTTCCTTCTTGCTCCATGACTTGCTATGTAGCTGGGTAGCTGACCCCTGATGTCCTCCTCCTTTTCTTGCGTCTTGATCCTCTCTCCCAAAATTTCTCCTCCTATTTATTCTCTCTGCCTGCCAGCTCTGCCTATCCTTTCTCCTGCCTTGCTATTGGCCATTCAGCTCTTTATAGACTAATCAGATGTTTTAGACAGGCAAAGTAACACAGCTTCACAGAGTTAAACAAATGCAACATAAAAGAATACAAAACATCTTTGCATCATTAAACAAATGTTCCACAGCATAACAAATGTAAGACATCTTTAACTAATATTCTACAGCAGCAGAATACTCTTTTCATTAACTTTCATTGTAAATATATTTATCTCATGTGGATGGGTGTTTTGCCTGTCTACATGTATGTCCTGCACTGTTTGCAATATTCAGAGAGGCCAGAAAAGAGCATCAGAAACTGGGACTGGAGTTATAGACAGCTGTGAATGGTCATGTAGGTGCTGGGAATCAAACCCATGTCCTCTGGAAAAGCAATACCCTTAACCACTGAACTATCTCTTGAGCCCCCAAATACTCTTCGCAAAGGAACCTCCTTGGGAATTTATCTCTTAGGATAGATTTCTTATTTCAATTTGTTTGTTTCTGTTGACTTTTTTTTTTATTCTGGAAGTTTTTATTCTTCCCATGTTGGGAATCAAACCAAGGCTTTGTGCATGCTATGGAGGGTGTGTGTGGTGGTTTGAATGAGAATGTCCCCCATGGGCTCATAAGTTTGAATACTTGGTCCCTGGTTAATGGAAGTGTTTGGGAAGGATTTGGAGGTGTGGCCTTGTTGGCCCAGTCAACATGCCAGGCCCAGTCTCACTCTCTCTCTCTGCCTACAACTTGTGGATAAGATGTGAGCTCTCAGCTACTTCTCCATCACCATGCCTGCCTGCCACACTCCCATCCATGATGGTCATGGACTCACCCTCTGACACTGTAAGCCAGCCCTCAATTAAATGCTTCCTTAAAAGCTGCTTTGGTCATAGTATCTTCTCGGAGCAATGGAGGTAACTAAGACAGAGAGCTCCAGAACAGAGGTGTTTTCAAGAGTGTAACTAGAGTTTTCCTGCCTTGTCCACAGTCAGGACAAATCTCTCTCACCTGCCAGTCCCACAGCCGCTCAGACCCAACCAAGTAAACACAGAGACTTATATTGGTTACAAACTGTATGGCCATGGCAGGCTTCTTGCTAACTGTTCTTATAGCTTAAATCAATCCATTTCTATAAATCTATACCTTGCCACGTGGCTTGTGGCTTACTGGCATCTTCACATGCTGTTTCTCATCGTGGTGGCTGGCAGTGTCTCTCTGACTCAGCCTTCCACTTCCCAGCTTTATTCTCCTCCTTGTCCCACCTATACTTCCTGCCTGGCCACTGGCCAATCAGTGATTTATTTATTGACCAATCAGCAACACACTTGACATACAGACCATCCCACAGCACTTCCCCAGTTCTGGAGAGCTCCAGAACAGAAGTGTTTTCAAGAGTGTATTTGTCTCTCTTTTATGGGCACTGGGCCTTATAAAAGAAGTTTTTTCTTTCACTGTTTTGGTCTAGGAAGCTCAGAGGAGTTCAAATTCTGGGTGCTGTGGCTACTGTATGAGATTCATTTCTTTGAGCTACTTTTATCCCCTGATGTTATCATCTTTCCTATCTTAAGCCTTTGCCCTGAGTACCTAAATTATTTGTTTTATAGTAAAAGTTTCTAATTTTAAGCAGTTCTCCTCATCTAGGTATACAGTTTCATTGCTTACAATTCTACATTCCACAAAATATTGAGTATGAACACAATCCAGCCAAGTTCTTGACACTTATGACAAGGGTCACTTATTCTTCCCAATAACGTATTCCCCGTTTCTATCTGAGTGCTCATCAGAATGGCTTTAGCATCCTGTCCAGGGTTACATACATTCTCTATGAAGACAGTTTCTCTTCAAATTCCTCTTTTCTTCCTGAACCAGAATCACTTTCAAAACTCCCTTCATGGCAGTGCTGTATCATGTACTTCTATATGCTTCAAAACTCTAGCCATTGGGCTGGAGAGATGGCTCAGCGGTTAAGAGCACTGGCTGCTCTTCCAGAAGACCTGGGTTCAATTCTCAGCACCCACATGGCAGCTCACAACTGTCTGTAACTCCAGCTCCAGGAGGTCTGGCATCCTCACACAGATAGACATGCAGGCAAAACACTAATGCACATTAAAAATTATTAAACAAAAAAACCCAAAACACCTCTAGCCACCTCTCTCCACCACCAAAGCTGCTCCCATACTTTCAGGTGTTTGTTATAGAAACATTCTCCTTGTTGGTACCAATTTCTGACCAATCATCCGGGGATACTGTAACAAATGGCCACAAACAAGGTAGCTTTAAAAATAAACATTTATTTCTCACGGTTGGTCCTCGAGTCTGGGAAATCCAAGGTCAAGGTGCCAGCGAGTTATCTGGTGAGAAGTCTTGTCCATGTTTGTGTGGTCATCCACCTTCTCACTGTGTCCTCACACGGCCAACTGCAAGTGCTGTGGCCCTCTTATAAAGACACCAAGCCCATGAGCCATGAGGGCTCTACCATTCCAGAGGCCTATCACCAATACCATTAACGAGGGACCATATTTCAGTACATAAATGTAGAGGGATGCATACATTCAGTCCATAACCTGTGCTAAGTGGTTCATGTAGCATATGTTTGGTTCTCACTGGCAGCTAATAGATAGTCTCTATTTTGTGAATGAGGAGACTGAGTTAGCAAATTTGCTCCCTTGTTTAAGGTCACATAGCTAGCAGGCAGAGAGATCCAGATCCATATGTCATCTGCTGCCAGGCGTTTGGAAAGGGTGATCTGCAGACCCTTGGTGCCAGAATGATCCACAGCCTGCTAGACAAAAACTGCATTGTGGAATGGGCCAGGGGTCTACATTGTAAGAAGTGTCCCAAGTGCCACTTCTAATTTAAAAATTAAAACTCCCTATGCTAGTAATAGAATCGTAGGACCTGTTGAGCCCCTGTAAGTACTTTTTCCATAACTAAACATATGCTTCTCTCCACTACTTCGAGTCTGTGGTGATGTTGCTTGCATATATGTACACATGCACACCTAGCACTAACCATCTTCCTATAATCGCATTGGTAATGTCCTTGAAGATACCGTTTCCCAGAGTATCCACTACTCTTTACCGCAGTGGAGGAATTTCAGGAGCAGATGTCTGCTGCGCTCAGCTGGGCAGAGGGGCAGACCAGGTTCTGTGCAGTTCTAGAGGGAAGAGCTGCACCGGAAGTGGCTGCTGCAGAATGGGTTCTGCGCACACTTCCACTGAGTCTGCACAAGAGCGCTCAGCTAAGAGGCCCAGCTGTCCTCCAGTTGTTCTGAGAAAGAGCAGAGATGCTTCTCTGTGTGGTGGGGAGTGCCAGGGATGCCTAACAGGGAAGCAACCTGACCTTCCCAGGAGAAGGCCTGTCCTGTGCCTTCAAGGTGTCAGGGACAGGTAGAAAGTTGCCTCAGGTCACTGAGCATGAGAAAAGACATCATTTGGGTCTTGGGGGTCTAGAAATGGTTGGATTACTTTGAGCATGTAAGCTTGGGTAAAAAGTATGACTTCCTAAGAGTTACCACGCAAACCATTAGCTAAGAACTACATACAGGTAAGGGTCCAGTTTTGCTCTTATTTTCCTCCCATTCCATATCAGACCAGCCTCTAGCTTGTTGCTGTCATAGGCTGAAGTACTGAGAAGTTAAGACTTTTAGAATATTAGGAGGTGCCATTGTTGCTATTGTAGAAAGTTTTTAAGGGAGTTTATAGCAACCTATAAGCTTTCTCTTCTTGGGATACTCGGTGTCCCCCAGGGTCTGGCCCCTAAAGCTGAGTACATGCCCCCCAGAGCTTCAACACCTGTCACCTGACTGGGCCTGTTTGGTTGTTGTAGTGCAGGCAACCTGGATGGCCTACGATATGGTGGTCATGCGTACCAACCCCACACTAGCAGAGTCCATGCGCCGGCTGGAGGATGCCTTCCTCAACTGCAAAGAGGAGATGGAGAAGAACTGGCAAGAGCTACTCACCGAGACCAAACGCAAGCAGTGAGCCACCACTGTCACCAGCCTGAGTGCAGAAGCCAGGGGCGTGGGTCAGGAGGCCCAGATGTGTAGCTGTGTGCGCAGTACTTGTTTCTCAATAAACTTATTTTCAAGCAAAACCAAGGACCCCTTTCTGTCTTGCACTATGATTGACACAACTTCACATCAGACTCTGTGAGCAAAACATGACAAGTGTGTGAGGAGGATGCTTCCAGTGGGCCAAACACCTATTGGTGTCAGCTGTTCTAAGTGTCGAACAAAAGGAGGGGAAATGGGGCTGGTGGGATTGCAGACACAGGCACCCCCACTCAAGACTGCGTGCAGTCCCCAGGACTACACAGAGGGATGAGGAGAAAAGCAATTCCACAGAGCTAGCTGTCCTCTGACCTCTTCACCTGCACCACGACACACGCATTTCCCTCACAATAACAGGAAATCATTTCTTTTGAAAATATTTATTATTTTATGTGGATGGGTGTTTGGACTGCATGGATGTTTGTGTACCATGTGTATTCAGTGCCCACAAAGACCAGAAGAGGGTGTCAGATCCCCAGGAATGGGGTTACAGACAGTTGTGAGCCACTATGTGGATTCTAGGACTCAAACCTGGGCCCTCTGGAAGAGTAACCAGTGCTCTTGACCACTGAGTCATCTCTCCAGCCCCAAATTTCCTTTTTTTTTTTAATGCAGAAAATGGCCCAGTTGGGACCAACCAGGTTGCAGGCCAGGACAAGCAGCAGAACTCAGATTTCTCTCCCTGCCTAAAGTGGACTTCAGTGGGTGAAGAAGAAAGCATGTCATTTCAAATGTGGTTTGCCCCAGGCACCAGGCCAGATGGCCACTGGAATCCTGTTGCCATGGATCTCCTGAATGACAGGTGTCCAGAGGAGTATTCAGTGCCTCTCCTGGTTCACACAGGTAACAACAGGTATTACTAGAGTAAAATGAAGGGCTCATCTAGAGGAGAGCTTGAAAGAAGCAGTGTGGGGGTCTAGAGAGTTGGAGAGAGGCTCACAACGTGTCAAATGGTCCTGATCCAATCTGGGCTGGGACTGTGGGCAGAAGAGTGATTGTCCAATCAAGGTATAAGACATTCAGGTGCCATTCAGACCCAGACACTTCCTCTTTTTTTTTTCTTTCTTTTTTTTTTTTTTGTTTGTTTGTTTTGTTTTGTTTTTCGAGACAGGGTTTCTCTGTGTAGCTTTGGCTGTCCTGGAACTCACTCTGTAGACCAGACTGGCCTCGAACTCACAGAGATCCTCCTGCCCCTGCCTTCTGAATTCCTGAGTGCTGGGATTAAAGGCTTGCCCCACCACCGCCTGATCATACCCAGACTCCTAAAGGGCCTCAGGATAGGAAAAATCCCAGAGAGGGGATGTTTCCTAAGGAGCTCTGTTTCATTTTCCATCTTGGGGGAGCATAGGGGGCTCAAAGAATCCCTCAGACAGGGTTGTGATGAAGACAAGACATCCTCAGCAGGTGGGACCTGGGGCCAAAACCAGCGGGTATAGGGGAGCCAAGAGGGACTAAGATAGCCAGGGCTCCAAGGGTGGGTTAGAAGGGATTGCACTTCAGAGAGAATTCACAACCCTTAACTTGACAGGGGGAGCTTTGGGCACAAGAGCAGAAAGTTCTGCTCCTAGGCTTCTTCCCATGCCCCAGGTCCACTCAGACCCACCCAGAGAAGGGTTTCTCTGGAGAGTAGCCACAAAGTTGTTTTCCCAGCACTCAGAGTGTGGTCTGTAACCAGGTCTTGGGGGGCAAAGTCAGAGTGAATGGATAGAGGACTCCCTTACTTCCCAGGGGAAAGGGCTGCAGCTCCTTGGCCTGGAACTGGGCAGTCCCCTCCGAAACTGTGAAGGTAGCTGTGACCTGGTGGTTGAGACAGTAAATGGTGTTGCCCAGTACTGTGCAGTGGAGTGGGGCAGGGTCAGGCAGGGGCAGGGAGGCAGCCCGGCTCCAGGACCCTGTCACTGTGTTGTAGCGCATCACCGCAGCACCTACACCCCGCAACAAGTCAAAGCGGTATAGGAAGCCCCCGAGTGCTACCATATCACTGGAGCGTCGGTGGCTGGCACTGTAAGGGCACTCATCCCATGAGTCTTTGACTGGGCTGTATCTGAGCAAGCGGTAAAAGAGATGACCCCCTGTGACGTAGATATCTCCTCGGCAGACCACAGCCTCGTGGGCCACAGGGAAGGTGCCCTCAGGGAGGGATGCTCTCAAGGTCCAGGTATCTGTGCGTGGGTCATAGCGCTCCATGCTGTATAGGCACTCACCACCAATGGCATAAAGCATCCCGTCCAGAGCCACCAACTTGAGCTGGGCCCGTGCTTGCTGCATGGGCCGAACCTGGCTCCAAATGTTGGTCAGAGGGTTGTAGCAGAACACCTTGTTAGAGCAGACAGCCTTAGTACCAGAACCTCTGATGCCACCTGCCAGAAACAGATAGTTATGCATCGTGCAGAGACCACATCCCCGGAGTGGGACCTCCTCTGGTACTTGAGTCAGGGGCCGCCACACATTCTCTTGTGGGTTGAACACATGGAGGTATGTGTGAAGATGCAAATGCTCAGGCCCGGTTGCAGGAGCCTCCTCACCATGAGGGCCCCTTGTGAGCCCTGAGCGGCTCACCTGGTAAAGGCTGGGCAGCACAAGGACCCCCAGCACTGTCTGGCCCTGGCAGGTCCGCAGGTTCAGGATGCGTTCCCTGTCAGCTCCACTCAGCTGTCGGTAGAGGTGTGGGTCTCCCAGAACATGCAGCAAGTTGTTGCTCATCAAGATGTAGGTCTCCTGGGCTAAACCCAACTCTCCATGCTGCTGGGCAAAAGCCAAAACCTCCAAGCAGCTGCCTAGGTCTAGCTTTGGGGGCCACAGCGCCATCGTTGTGGGAGGCTGTGAAGCCTGTGAGCAGGACTTCTGATGCCCGTCCACCACTCCCCAACTACCAGGCTTCTGCAGAAAAATCATAAGCTTTTGTGTCTCTTTCTGCTTCTCTGTGAGGACTGCCCTGCCGCCTGCAGGTCTGGCTCCCTCCTTTAGCACCTGCCCCTGGGGCTGCTGGGGTACTTCGAGAGTGAGTATCTGTTCAGAGCTCTGAGCTATGCTACGTTTCCTCCGTTGCCGAGGCTGAGGGATGGGCTGAGCATCCTGCTTCATAGTAGATGGTCCAGGAGCAGGCCGTGCCAGCCCAGGGAACTGTGAGACAGCCACAGGCTTTGCAGCTGGGGGCAGAGAGTCTAGACTTTTCTCCTTGGTTCCGTCTCCTCTAGGGTCTGGAGTGGAAGACACGTTAGTCTCCATGCTCACTGGTTGTGTTTCACATCTACCCTCAGCTAGGCCCTCTGAACCTACTGGTGTGACTAAGACCGACGGTGGTCTATGTTTGTCCTGGAGGCTGGAGATGGCCCCTTCAGAGGGGGGACCTGGCTGTCCATCTTTCAAGTATGTGGATGTGCTGGGCCCAGCAGGACTCTGAGGATCTGCCCTTGGGGCACTACTATCTGCCTTTTCTTGCCTAGGGAAGGGGTGACTTCTAAGAACCATGGTAATAAGGTTTCCCCAGCTGGCTGAGACTCGCCCTTCCAGGGAACTCTTGGACAGGCCCACACTAGACCCACTAGACATAGGCCTCGGCCCACTGTCCACTGCAGGAGCTTGGGCAGAGGCTGGAGTTGAGGGTGATGCTGGGGATGGGGTTGGTGTTGAGATTGGGGTTAAGGCTGTCGCTGCAGTTGGGGATGGGGTAGGGAGTGATGTTAGAGATGGGGTTGGTGTTGAGACTGGGGTTAAGGCTGTCGCTTCAGTTGGGGATGGGGTAGGGAGTGATGTTAGAGATGGGGTTGGTGTTGAGATTGGGGTTAAGGCTGTAACTGGGGCTGGGGTTAAGGATGGGGCTGGGGTTGGGGGTGATGTTAAGGATGGTACTTGGGTTGCTTCTGGGGCTGAAGCTGAGGCTCCTGCTGAGGCTAAAGTTTGGGTTGGAAGGGAGGCTAGCCCTGCTTTGCGATTTTCACCACCTGAAGGACCCTGGCTAACTTCCAGGGGCAAATTGTTTAAAGGAGCAAGGGGAGAAGCTGCATGGAGAAACCCAGGGCTGGAATGCACCGCCGTGGCAGAAGATGGAACCAGCTCGGTTTCTCGGGTCAGAGGAGAGGCTGGAAGGCTGTGGGAGGGGGTGCAGTTGAGGCCACCAGTGGACTTGGTCACATCCGTGATACGCACAAGCCTCTGGGCAGCAGCTGGACTGCCAGCTCTCTGCTCGCCTTGACCGGACCCTCTCCCTTTGCCAAGGAGGTGGCCCTCTCTTAGTTTCTCCATCTTGCTCTGGTCAGCGATTCGGTCCACTTCAGAAGCCTCAGGGTGCAGCTCTTCTGGCAAGGCACCTTGGGAGGGGCTGAAGTTGCTGGTGACAGCAGCTGCCCCACTCTCCCGGGGCCAGGCTTCCTCACCAGCCAGGCTCCCCTGAGTCTCCCTAGGGGTAGGGGACCCAGGCTCTCTGCTCTCACCATCCTTAGCCCCTGAGCCTGCCGTGCTGGTGGGAGAGAGCGGAAGGCTGCTCCTCCCACACACGTCCTTGGAGTCCACCCGAGGTCGACCATCCATAACATCCGCTAGGCCTGTTTCCTCAGGACCCTTGAGCCCCCTGTCTGAGTGGAGCGATGAGGGACCTGCAAGGGAACTGCTGGTGCAGATGTCCTGGCTGGCCGCGGCTGCCATATCCACAGCATCCCACACACTCACCACAGTGCCCAGGCGAAGAGGGTCCAGCTTTAGAGGACGGCAGGGTCTGTCTCCTGAGCTGGCACCGGGCCGTCGACGCCGCCTACGCAAGCTGCCTAGGCTTCTCCCTGGCGGGCCGGGAGGCCCAACGGGCAGGTGCCAAGGGCTGGTGTCCGGTTGCTCTGTATGGACCGGGCCCTGCTGAGCTGCCCCTCTACCACAGGTGCCAATGGCCTCTACCTGCATCTCTGTTTTGCTATCAGGACTTCGAGGGGTAAAGCGGATCATGATGGGGACAGGAATATCCCTTGCTTCATGGTGACCCTGAAAGGAAGTTCCTGGCCCGGGTGGCTCCCTTCTTTTCTTTCCCAGGGCGGCTGGGGTGGTCCCTCTGCTGGCCACCTCTCCAGGTGTCTTGAGTGAAAGCCAGGCATCTGAGGCCATACTTCTGCCTCTTGACGGCTCCGGGTCCTGGGCCCTCGCTGTAGCTGGTCTTCTCTGGCCATCTCCAGGAGCCTCTGCTTCCTCCTGTCCTTTGCTCTGCCCCTCAGTGGCATCACTGTCCTTGGACTTGGGGTGCAGGGCCAACCTGACTCCTCCTGCCTGAGCGGGCTGCACACCCAGAGCTGTGGATGCTGAGCTTTGTGCCTCCTGGTCCTGCCTGGAGCCAAACCACTGCAGAGCCAGTGCCATGGCGGCTACCACAGCTAGTGCCAGCAAGGTGAGGACGGCCCCATCCCAGTCATCATCTCCATCCTCATCCCAGCCCCAGAGGGGCCCACCAGCGTCTACAGCGCCCTGGAGCATGGTGCAGATTGCAGACCTGCTGTGAGCAGCCCGTTCTGGCTGGCAGCTCTGTATGCCCCACACCCAGCTTGGGCTGCTGGCTGTGCAGATGGCACTGCACGCAGCTCCCCTGGGACAGCCCTGTTAAGGTGGACTGATGCTCTAGGCCCCTGAGGGACACCTGCTGGCATTCCGGTGTGCAGGCTTGCCAGCAAACCCAGCTAGACACATCAAGAGAGCCTGTGGTCTACCGCAGCCTGCCCTGGTTGTGAACCCCAATCCCAGCCCCTTCCCCCTCCTTCTTTGCTCAGGATCCTAGGGACAAATGAAAGTGTCCCTGGACACACTGCCAGCATTCCACTCCACTGTCTTCTGCCTTAAAGACCCTCATATCCCCAAATCACCCTACACCCTAGAGGCTACACAAGAGCTCTGACAAGGAAGGGTTACCACACGGGGAGATGTTATCTCGGGCCTTAGCAACATGATGCAGCCCTGATGAAATTACCAGAAACCGGAGAGGCCAATTCCACCATGGCCACCAGGGAAGGGTGTGGGGGTGGTTATTTTGGTGGGCTCTCAGACTGAACATGGAGACCCCGGGACATGGGGGTCATGTGAGTTAGCATCTGAGTGTGGGACAAGTGAAGGTCTCGTCCTCCCTCCTCCAAACATTGCTCCAAGATAAAGTAGTTTTCAAGTCAAGAGGGAAAAAAATGAAAGTGAGAAAGAATGAAGAAAACCTAACCGTTCAGTCTCCCTCTGGGGCCAGTCTTTCCACCCCAACGTAAATGTGGGTGGGGCCTCCTTTCACTCTCTTAGCCTGCTCATGTACCGCCCCAGCATGCCTCAGAAAAGCGCAGGGCATAGCCTCTCCTCCAGTCACTCCATCAACCTGTGCCCAGAGCCTTCAGAAACCCTCTCTGGCCCAGGTGCCCTACCAGTCCAGTTCCCACGTATCCTCTCCTAAACCTTTCCTATCTGAACCAAATCACTCTCCATCCCACCTCCTCACCCAGTTTGGTTCTCACGGAATGGCATGTGGATACCAGGGAAGGGCCTTCCCTATCTGCTCATCACTGAGATCCATATCAGGAGTGAGTCTTCAGACATTTATTTACCAGGGAGGACCCAGACACACCGAAAAAGAGATTGGAGTCCCCAGAATAAAGGTAGCTCTCCCAACAAGAAGTGGACCTTTTCTTCCTCTGGAACACAATGGACCCAAGGACTCCTTGACTTAGGCATCAAGGAGGTGGCAAGAGTGTCCCTGGCACCTAGCCTGGGCTCTGCTGAGCCTCAAGTATCTCATCTGGCCTGGTCCCATCCCGGCTTCCCACAGAACTATTAAGTGACAGAGAGAGGATGGGGTGAGCCCTGCACCTTAAGGTGGACTTCAACCAGCGGAGGACCTTCTTGCCTTTGTTCTCTGTCCCGCTCTCAGGCTCCCCAGTTAAGTTTGTAGACCCTGGACCTTCAATAGATGTAGTTGGCGCTTTCTCTGTACCTCTTTATGGGCTCATCAGTACCTTGCCAGCTCCACACAGCTTCTGAAGATCCAGGGGAGTTCAAGAGCCAGGAAGGTCACAGAGGGGAGAGGGGATGCAAAAATCAACACAAACAAACCCACAAAGAATGAGGGTCATGTGGGGGGCTCGGGAGGGAGAGGCAGGGGGATCTCTTGTGAGTTTTTGGCCAGTCTGGTCTACATAGTGAGCTCCAGGACAGCCAGACTATATAGGAAGTCTGTCTCCAAAAAAAAAAAAAAAAGGCAGTAAATGGAAAGAAATAATCAAGATCTATCACAACAAAAATTAGTGAAATAGAAATGTAAATCATAAGCTGGAGAGATGGCTCGGCAACATATGTGAATCAATTAATAATACAAACATAGATGGCCTCAAAGACAGAAGTCACAAGGTCATCTCAATAGATGCAGAAAAGGCTTTTGGCAAAATCCAATATCCTTTTTTGATAAAATCCCCAAAGAAACTAGGAACAGATGGGATATATTTTAACACAATAAAGACTATATATGACAAACATATACTAAATAAACAGCCAACATCATACTAAAAAGAAAAAACATGAAAGCATTTCCACTAAAATGCTTTCTACAAAAAAGCATTTCTACAAAAAGAAAGCATTTCTACAAAAGACAGAATGATTACTTTCTTCACTTTTTTTTTTGGTTTTTTGAGACAGGGTTTCTCTGTGTAGCTTTGCGCCTTTCCTGGAACTCACTTGGTAGCCCAGGCTGGCCTCGAACTCACAGAGATCCACCTGGCTCTGCCTCCCGAGTGCTGGGATTAAAGGCGTGCGCCACCACTGCCCGGCTACTTTCTTCACTTTTATTCAGCATATTTCTTACAGTCTTAGCTATAGCAATAAAACAAAAGAAGGAATAAAATGGACACAAATAGGAAAAGATAAACTACCCTCATTTGCAGATTCTATACATAAGGGACTCTAGAGACTCATTGTGTAGACTAGGCTGGCCTTGAACTCACAGAGATCCAACCTGTCTTTGCATCCTGAGCACAGGGATATCAGGTGTGTGCCACCACATGTAGCCTGGTATCTAATTTTGTTGGCTATTATTTTTGCCTTTACCAAGCTCCCTGAAGTGTCATCAATAGATATTTATCACTTTGCCTGTTTTGTTAGTACCTTTTTGTTGCATTTTATTTTGTTTTTATTGAGGCATGATCTTACTATGTATCCCAGGCTGGCCTTGAACTTGAGGATCCTCTTGCCCAAGTTAGAAATACAGACTTACTCCACTGTTTTTCTTTTTCTTTTTTTCTGCTGTGGTTTGGTTTGGTTTTTGTTTTTTCCCTACTTGTAAAATGAATTCTAAATGTCATTAAACATTAAAATTTTTACTAACAGTTCTCTTAGGGCTACAAATTTTTCTCTGAATACAACTTCAGCAGTATCCTATACAGTTTTCCTCAAGTATTTTATATTATTTGTAACTCAAGGTTTGAGTTTCCTTTTAATCCCAAAGTGGTTTTTGTTTTGTTTTTGTTTTTCGAGACAGGGTTTCTCTGTGTAGTTTTTGAGCCTGTCTGGATCTCGCTCTGTAGACCAGGCTGGCCTCGAACTCCCAGAGATCGGCCTGGCTCTGCCTCCCAAGTGCTGGAATTAAAGGCGTGCGCCACCACGGCCCGACTTTAATCCCGAAGTTTTAAATTTTGTTTTCTTTTTTTTTTTTTTTTTTTTTTTTTTTTTTTTTTTTTTTTTTTTTCGAGACAGGGTTTCTCTGTGTAGCTTTGCGCCTTTCCTGGAACTCACTTGGTAGCCCAGGCTGGCCTCGAACTCACAGAGATCCGCCGGCCTCTGCCTCCCGAGTGCTGGGATTAAAGGCGTGCGCCACCACCGCCCGGCAAATTTTGTTTTCTTAAAAAAATTGTTCATTGAGAATTTGTATTGGAGTGTGATACAATCATGCCTTGTTGTCTCTCCATTCAACTTGTATTATTTTCTGGACAAAAACAGTAGTTTTTGCAAATATTTCGTGGGCTTACATAGATACATAATTAAACTGAGCTTTCTGTAGTATTCCTTTATTCTTAAGTTTGTTTTTTCGTCTGCAGATCTGTCTAACTCTGGAATGGGTGCACTGGCCTGTGGCCCAGCACACAGTCCCCGCAGGGGCAGGCGATCAGATCAGATGGTAGGGCTGAAGGCACCGGAGGGTGGGGCCAGGCACTTACTCTGGTTGCCAGGAAGCAAGACGGGACATAATGGGGTCTGAGAGTTTGATGAAACGGTTGTCAAGCTGCTCTGCTATGCTTTCTCAAGAGGGTAACCACCACCGCAGGTCAGTGCATCTCCCGGCCTTTCCTCGGGGCACCCTGTGCCCCTGCAAGGCCCCTTCCCAGGACATCCTTTCCCAACACCTCTAAAACCCCTCTCCCACCCAGAAACTCCAGGCCATTCTCTTTCCAATGTCTGGGTCCAAACTTGGCCTGTACTTAAAACACTAGCACTGAAGTCCCTGGGACAGGAGGCCAAGAGATGGCTTTGAAGCTTGATCCTGCCCCCAGTGCACCCGCCTCCCAGCCTAGGAAACTACTGTTTGTTTTCCGGGTGCCCTGGGATACATGTTAGGCCTTGCCCTCGGTCGTGCTGGTTCTGAGTGGAGCTGGGGCAGCCTCTCTCCTACGAGTTCTGTCCACAGGTGCTGCAAGCCATAAGCGCCCCCGCCTGCGCCATGGGCTCAGAAGTCTGGGTCGGCACTTGGCGGCCACATCGGCCCCGCGGCCCCATCGCGGCGCTCTACAGAGGCCCGGGGCCCAAATACAAGCTGCCACCGAACACCGGTAGCCAGGGCGGATACTGGGGAGGAAGTAGGGAAGGTGGGACTGTGGGCGGTCTACACTGGTGTCTGGAATCCAGGAACCGGAGGACTGTGCCCGGAGCAAAAAGGGAGGCCAAAAGATAGGAGGTTTTGTGCTGGGGACTGCCTGGGTGACAAGGGCGAGGGAAAGGAGCTGGCGGCCGCTGTGCACCGCGAAGGTGACGCGGGGATGCTCCCGCAGGTTACAAACTGCATGACCCGTCTCGGCCGCGCGCCCCCGCCTTCACCTTCGGCTCGCGCCTGCCCTTGCAGCACACAACCTGCGGGCCGGGGCCGAGCCATCTGGTGCCCGCCCGCATGACCGTGCGCGGCACCGACGGCGCCCCAGCATTCTCCATCTATGGTCGCCTACGCCACACAGCGCCCTTCCTCACTCCGGGACCGGGTCAGCACCCTGGGGCACGGGTCTCCCCGTGGTGGAACTGCCTCCGAGGAAGCCCACTGGGGAACTCCCCACCCAAACCCAGAATCCCGGGAACCTCCTCCCCATACCCAGAAACCCGAACCTCACTGTGGCTCCAATTTCTCCCTAGTGCCAAGATCCCAGGCTAGGCTCCCCATACCTCACCCCACCCCACCCCACCCCAGTTCTGGCCCACACTCTTGGTCCATCCCCTAGGCAGGTACTTCCCAGAACGCTCGGGAAACGCGACGTACCCCAGCGCTCCCCGGCATACCATCGCTCCCCGAAACTGGGGCATTCTCACGAAGCAACAAACCCCAGGTGAGGCCGGAGGGCTGGATCCAGCACTAGGGACCCTCCCACACCCCAACCGGCAGTCTGCCGTAAAGGCAAGGAGATTGGTCCAACATAACCTCTTGCTGGCTCCTCCTTAGGCCCTGGGTCCTACACTGTGCCTTCGCTCTTGGGCCCACGTGTCATAGGCAAAGTCTCAGCCCCAACTTACTCCATCTACGGCCGCAGCTCTGTGGGCAGCTGCTTCGAGGACCTCAGCAAGGTGGGGAAAGGGCTGCCAGCCGAACGTCTCTAGTAATCAAGAGGGTCAGTGGCGATGGGGGTGGTGAAGGACGCCTGGCACTCCACCACTCAGGAAACTGAGGCAGGAGGATTGTGAGTTCAAAGCCAGCCTGGGGTACACAGTGAGATTCTAGCTTGGGGCAGGGGAGAAGCTCACAAGGAATGAAGGCTGGACCCACCACCCTCCTCCTGTCCTCCTAGACCCCAGGCCCGTGTGCCTACCACGTTGTGAACCCCGGGGTCTACAAGAACCGAGCCCCGCAGTTCACGATGCTGCCGCGGACTTCAGTACCCCAAGAAAGCACTCAGAGGCCAGGACCCGCAAGCTACAGCGTGGACGAGGTGGTCTGGAGTCCAGGGTCAAGGGGCAGGGGATGAGGGTCTGAGGGCTAAGACAGGGTCCCCGGGGGACAGGCATTCCTGTGTGAAGCCAAACGGCTGGCTTGGTAAGGTCAGCGGCGTCTCCTGGGCCCGCAGCACCGGAAGCCTCGTGGCTGGAGCTTCGGAATCAGGCACTCAGACTATCTGGCCCCCATGATACCCCGCGTGAACGACTGATGCCAGCAGGCGCGCACAGGCCCTCGGTTGTTTGCTTAAAGCTTTTCAAGCCAGCGCTGTGTGTGCTTCTCTCTCTTCGCGGTCGGGCAAGGGGTGAGGGGATGGGGGAGGACGAGGTGAGTGCGAGCGTCCATAGCCTCAGTGGCGTCTGAACTTAGGGAGTGTCTGAATCTAACGACCAGACAGGGTAGCAGTGCCCGGGACCCATAGATATCGCGACCCCAGAGAACTGGGTAGAATGGTCTCTGGTCCGGAGCCACGATCTCCTGGCCCTTAAGGTCCCGGAAACACCTTCAATTGGCCACAAGGTAGCATGTAGGGAGCAGCTCAAGTGGTGATTGGCCTTACCTTGACAAGTGCCGCCTACCGGGACCGCCCCATCTGCCCGCTGTCCCTGAATTACCTGTCAGTGACTTGTCTGCTCTGCACCTAACTTCACGCCGGGCTGAGGGATGCCAGGTCGGAACCGGGCCAGATCCAGAAAACTGGTGAAGGCCCCTGAGCTGAGTAGGTACTGGACTGGGGTCAAGTTGTGAGGTCGAGAAATGGAAGCCAGACTTGGGGGAGAAAGGTGCCGGGTGTTAGGAAAGACATGGGTCAGTGATGGGCACTAGAAACGTATATAGGAGCAAGGCTGGGACAAGTGGCCATGGCTTCAGGGACATGGACAGGGAGGCAGATTCCAGCAGTGTCTCAATATCCCCTGCAGGCTGAAGCAATGGCAGCTCCAGGGATACCACCTCCCTTAACCCCAGAGGCAGCTGGTACCGTCTCAGGGGGAGGGAGTGGGGAACCCAAGCAGCTGCCTGAGCTGATCCGCCTGAAACGAGATGGAGGGCATCTGAGTGAGGCAGACATCAGGGACTTCGTGCATGCAGTGATGGATGGAAGTGCACAGGACACACAAATCGGTGTGTGGCAAGCCCTAATTGAACCTTGACCCCTAACTGCCCCATATGCACCTCAAGGATCCACAATACCCCATCACCATCACAGGCCCCAGAAAACCCATGCTCTGTGGAACACCTCACTCATATGTCCATACTTAGGGGCTATGCTGATGGCCATTCGGCTGCAGGGCATGGACCTAGAGGAGACATCTGTGCTGACTCAGGCCCTGGCAGACTCTGGGCAGCAACTGGAGTGGCCCAAGGCCTGGCACCAGCAGCTTGTGGATAAACACTCCACAGGAGGTGTGGGTGACAAGGTCAGCCTGGTTCTGGCACCTGCCCTGGCTGCATGTGGCTGCAAGGTTAGTGATTGCCACCTCTACAAGTCTCTGACCCACATGCAGGCACTTCCTACCCTCAAGCCTGGCTCAAAGCTCTTAAAGACAAAACCCAGGGTTGTCCTATCCCCCAATACCAACCAAGTTTCACCATGGAATACTGCTGCCTCTGTACCTAACAGGACCCTCAGAGGAAGAACTGGGTCTTTCTCTTCTTGTCCCTTGAACTTGGGTCCCAGACACATGAGTGCCAGCCTCTTACCCTACTGGCAAACTGCTCCCCACCAAGTACAGTTTATTTCCTTTCCAGCAATTGGGCACCAACATGAACTGTTTAAAATATTTGAAAATATTACAACTGCTTAAAAAGTAATTTTAGCTGAAGTTCTTACTAGTGGAGAGATAAAATGGGATAGGGGAAATGGTGCAGGAAAAGTCAGTATTCCTATCCACCAGGTGCCAATGATCAGCGGACGTGGTCTGGGGCACACAGGGGGCACACTGGATAAGCTGGAGTCTATTCCTGGGTTCAATGTCACCCAGAGCCCAGAGCAGGTACAGGTGGGCCACTAATCTACCATTGATCTGGGTTGAGGGAGAATCACTGGCCAGAATCACAGGACGATCAACAGATAGGTTATTTATCTGGGTCACTAGTGAGCGTGCTGACTTCTCTAAAGGTTGTTGGTTGTAGATAGGCCGGAGTCATCAAGAGAACTTTGATCAGGATCATTACTCGGGAATGGGTAGAAAACACCAACGAGCTGCTAATCATTAATGTATTATAACTAATCAGGCAGGTCAGTCATCAGAGATTATTGACACTCTTGGGCCATGTTTTGAACTTTGTCTGGGGTCAGTGGTCAGGGCCAGTGAGAGGGTCCTTCCTCAGAGGTCACACTGCAGATGTCTGAACAGATACTGCTCTTACTGGAGGAAGTGGGCTGCTGTATTGTTGGCCAGAGTGAGAAGCTGGTCCCTGCTGATGGAATCCTGTATGCTGCCCGAGATGTGACAGCTACTGTGGACAGTATACCACTCATTACAGGTGACCTGATATGGGTACCCTGACATACAATCCACTAGGCACTGCCACCTTTATCACAGAGGCAACCCCTTCTGTCCCCAGGTATCATACCCTGGGGATGATGTTTCTGTTCTCCACAGCATCAATCCTCAGTAAGAAGGTCGTGGAGGGACTCTCCACTCTGGTGGTGGATGTTAAGTTTGGGGGGGCTGCAGTCTTCCCAGACCAGGAGCAGGCCCGAGAGCTGGCAAAGACGTTGGTGAGCCCGTGCTGGGCCTCTGTGGCCTTTCTTTCCTTTTTTGTTTGTTTGTTTGTTTGGTTGGTTGGTTTTGAGACACAGGGTTTCTCTGTGTAACTTTGGCTGTCCTGGATCTCGCTCTGGAGACCAGGCTGGCCTCGAACTCACAGAGATCCGCCTGCCTCTGCCTCCCAAGTGCTGGGATTAAAGGCATGGGCCACCACCGCTGGGCCTCTGTGGCCTTTCTGTGAAGGGATGTGAACCTCACCTTCTGCCATATCCTTGCCTCTGCCCACTCAATAATCCGGGTAGAACCAACTGGCAATCCCCCTTCCCAGCCCTCCTACCCTATCTAATCAAGGCTGTCCTGAGCTTGGGCTGGGGAAATCCTGCACAGAGCCCCCGCACTTAGGATGAATCACAAGACCATTCCATCACCACCACCACCTGGCAGTGTTGGTTTCTGATCTCCATCCCAAACCTTTCCTGACATCTTAACCCAGGTGCAGCAGGCATGGAATTTGGTAATGCCAGCTGGACACTGAGTAGTGCCTCCCCAGGTTAGCACAGGAGTGGGCCTGGGGCTGCGGGTCGCAGCAGCCCTGACCGCCATGGATGACCCTCTGGGCCGCAGCGTGGGTCATACCCTGGAAGTGGAAGAAGCATTGCTTTGTCTGGATGGTGCGGGGCCGCCGGACCTCCGGGACCTGGTCATTAGGCTAGGTGAGAGGGCTGGGGTTAAGACCACCTATCTGCATGCCAGGAGCTCTCAACCCCTGCAGCTTCTGCAGCTTCTGCAGCTTCTGGGCTCCGTCCCTCCCGCCAGCAGGGGGCGCCATCCTTTGGCTTAGCGGACAGGCGGAAACCCAAGACCAGGGCGCCGCCCGAGTGGCCGCGGCGTTGGATGACGGCTCTGCGCTGCACCGCTTCCAGCTGATGCTGTCGGCGCAGGGCGTGGACCCCGGCCTAGCCAGAGCACTGTGCTCCGGGAGCCCCACGCAACGCCGCCAGCTGCTGCCCCACGCCAGAGAACAAGAGGAGCTGCTCGCACCGGCAGACGGTGAGACCGGATATCCCCGGCCAGGCCCCACCCACTTCCTCTCCGCGTCTTTTCTTTCCCGGTCCTGCCCTCGTGCGTCCGCCCGCCGATCCTCAGCGACCGTCTTCTCCCTTAGGCACCGTGGAGCACGTCCTGGCGTTGCCGCTGGCCCGTGTGCTTCACGAGCTCGGGGCCGGACGCAGCCGAGCGGGGCAGCCGATCAGGCCGGGAGTGGGTGCCGAGCTGCTGGTCGACGTGGGTCAGTGGCTGTACCGCGGTGAGCGCCGTCCGGAACCCGGAACCACTCCCACACTCCCGGTCGCCCGCTGTGACCTAGGTAACCGCTTCCGTCGTTCGTGCAGGTACACCCTGGCTCCGCGTACACCTGGACGGCCCCGCGCTCAGCGGCCAGCAGCGCCGCGCTCTACAGGGGGCGCTCGTGCTGTCGGACCGCGCACCCTTCAAGGCCCCTTCGCCCTTCGCTGAACTAGTCCTCCCACCGACCTTCGCACAGCCCTAAATCCGACCCCACCGTAGGCAGGTAGGGGGGGTCCCGAAGTTGAGCAAGCACCCCCCACACTAGGGGCGGGCCTGGGTGGATGGGACACGGTGAACACGTGACCTCCGCGATTTGTCTATGAGGGTAATGCTGCTGCCTCATCCACTGCGTTGCAGTGAGCTAGAGACCTGCCAGTGTGAGGTGCGGATGCTGGGGCGCACAGAAGGGGTGTATTATGAATATTTACCAATCCTATCTTCTCGGGGTGGTGTCAGGGGCCAGCTTAGGGACAGACGGGCCCATGGTGCCCTGAGCATGAATGGGCTGGGCTTTGTGATATTGGTGGCACTGGTTTTCTACTGAGCCCCAGATCACCCTGTAGTGGCCCCTGAGGCTAGAAAGGATTACCCCTTTAAGGTGGTAAACCAGAGTGTTGACATCCTTCCTTTTAAAAAGATTTATTGTAAATAGACACACGTGCTCTGGTGCCCAGGCAAAGCATATTCTGAATGCTTCCAGGCATCAGAGGGAAGCCTGGCAGTTGAGGTGCAGGTTATCCATAGACTGCGGTAATGAAGCTGAGGCTCCCTAGTTAAAGAACTAGGAGTGACAGGTGTGGAGCAAGCCATCTATGGACATTTGGTGTTGCCTAAGCTGAAGCTTAAGGCTTGAGGTGGAACAGTTCTGAGTTCAGATGAGCCCATGCAGACAGCTGGCTAAGCTGCTTGGATGTGGGGTGCTGAATTTCTCCAGCAGTGGAGGCCCAGGCACCTTCCTTGTCTGTTCTTTTCTGACTTCTGGCATCTCCGTTCTTTTCCAGAAGCTTCAGGTCCATGGTGCTACTGGCTCTAGGGCCCAAAGCTTGGCCCAGGCTCTCTCAGTTCAAACCTCGAGTCCTTCTTGGGATCCCAGGAAGTGAAACTCTGTATGTAAAGTCCCGACACTTGTCAGGGCAGGGCCAGCCCCAAGGCCCTGGGCTAAGAACTAGGCTGCTGATCACTGCCCTGTTTGGGGCTGGGCTGGGCTGGGCCTGGCTGGCAGCAAGAGCTGAGAAGGAGCAGTGGCGCCAACAGCAACGGACCGAAGCCCTGCGCCAGGCTGCTGTGGGTCAGGGTGACTTCAGCCTACTGGACCACAAAGGCCAGCCTCGATGCAAAGCTGACTTCCGAGGCCAGTGGGTACTGATGTACTTTGGCTTCACTCACTGCCCTGATATCTGCCCCGATGAGCTGGAAAAGCTGGTTAAGGTGGTACAGAAGCTGGAGGCAGAGCCTGATCTGCCTCCGGTGCAGCCCGTCTTCATCTCTGTGGACCCAGAGCGGGATGACGTAGCAGCCATGGCCCGGTATGTGCAGGACTTCCACCCAAGGCTGCTGGGTCTGACGGGTTCTAAAGAACAGGTGGCCCAGGCTAGTCACAACTACCGTGTGTACTACAGCGCTGGTCCCAAGGACGAGGACCAGGACTATATTGTGGACCATTCCATTGCCATTTACTTGCTCAACCCAGATGGTCTCTTCACAGACTACTATGGGCGGAGCAGGTCAGCAGAGCAGATTGTAGAGAGTGTACGTAAGCACATAGCTGCCTTCCGTAGCATCCTGCCCTGAACTATGCTACCTAGGCCCTGCCAATAAATGAATGTACTTAATCTATATGTGTGTGCTGTCTACCCGCAGCCCATTTAAATGGTTTGTTAGGTGAACAGGTAGGGGTAGCAACGCCACTTTATTAGGCTAGGCCAGCCAGGAAGCAGCACTGGAGTAAATGGCCCCACAGCACACTAAGGGCACAAGATTTCCAGGTATACACTACCTTCCACCCCTGCCTCAGTGCTCTCCACTCAAGGCTGGGCCATGGAGGGGGCAGCATAGGTCTGGAAGCGGGTATGGGCTCGTTGGTGTGTGAGCAGTCTCAGAGACATGGTGTCCACAGCTGCCTCCAGTCCTGGCTGCTGGGTGATCTCCACCGTATAGTCATTAGCCTGTGGAGACGAGGCATCAGCAGAGTCCAGGGGTGTTTCCCCATCCCATGTGTCCCAGGCCACTCACCAGTTGCAAGGAGGCCAGCATGGAGCGGCACACCTCAAAAGCAGGCTGCCCAGCTACAAGCTCTGCAAAGGGACACCACTCATTGAGCTGGGGAAACCGTGAGACCAACTGGTCCCCATAGGTGTGGATATCAAAGGGCACATGCTGCTCCTGCACAGGGAAAGGACATGTTAGCTTCAAGTGGAGAGACAGCTCTGAACAAACCCCAAACTGGTGGTAGGCGGTTACAGTACCAAGCAGCATGCCTCACCTGCTCCTGGAGCAGGGGCTGGATGGAATCTTCCCAGTCCCTGATGCGCTGGCTCAGCTCTGTCTCCTGGACAAACTTCTGGGAGGTGGCAATGAAGAGTTCCTACGGAAGGACCAGTGGGTTCTTCCTTGCACGTAAGAGCCCAGGATGCCCCGCTACTCCCACCTGTTACCCAGGCTTACCACATTTCTTCGGACCAGCTCCTCATATCTCAGGGACTCGGGCATAGCCTCTGCATCTGGAAAGGCCCAACCATGAGCCGCTGCAGCTATGGGGCTATACACTCTCCCCTCCTGCAGCTCTTGCTCTCTCAGCTCATCTCAGCTGCCCCCAATCCAGACCTACCTAGGTCAGCAGCTTCCCCAGGCATCACCCCCTCAGGCTCTGCATACTCTTCAGGTTCTAGAAAGTCGTCTGCTGAGACATGGAGAAGTGACCAGAAGCAGCTGCTCAGACAGCAGCAGGTACTGAGAGCACCAACCCCTGACCCTCACCCACCTCACATCAAATGGCACCTACCCCCAACCCCCACCCACCCCACATCAAATGGCACCTACCTCCAACCCCCACCCACCCCACATCAAATGGCACCTACCTCCTACCCCTAGGTCTTCTAGGGAATCTTCCAAGCGTTCCTCCTCTACAGGCCACAGATCCTCCTTGGCACTGGGCAGCCATCTCTCAGTCACCTGTCCAGAGAATATCTGTGAGGTATCTCAACTTCTAGGCCCTGTGGGGTCTGACTTGAGTACTATGGGTACTTGCCTTACGTCTCTGTAGCTTCTGAAGGGTCTCGAGCTGTTCTTTTACATGTTTCCAGTACAGCACTTCCATGTCTGCAGAAAAAGACCTTATGAGGGGCTTCCCCATCCAGCCCAAGCTCCCATTTGTCCACCCAGGACTTCCAGTGACCCTGGCAGGGACGATGGGGGTGGAGCTGGGGAAGGCGGTTAAGGACTATCTTCCCTGAACAGGTACATAGGAGCCAACCTCACCTGCAAAGGTTGGGCCCTTTCGCCGAGGCTTCCTGCTGTCAGCATGGTCGGCATCTGTGAGAGAGCAGTTAGCAAGAACCAGGCCAAAATCACGGCACCCAGGCGAAAGCGTGTGCCACCTCAGCCACACTCACTCACAGGCAGCCAGGTACCACTGGTGGAAGTCCTGCAGCTTGGTAGCACACTTCCTCTTGCGCTTCTGTCCTGGAACCTCTTCCACACAGGGGGGCACAGAATAGGGCTTACCTGGAGGCAGAGAGGGACTGCATCCAGAGTGGCCAAGGAAAGGGCATACCGAGCCCCATCCAATCCACTACCTCAGAACTCAGTAGCTCCAGGCAGGGGAACATGAATGAGGTGCCACCATCCTACTGACCTTTCTGGAAGAGCTTAGAGTCCAAGGAGTCAAAAGGGTCCAGGCTCTGCCAGGGGTCTGGGGTCTCCTGAGCAAACACAAGCAGAAGCTGAGGAGGGATAGAGCATGAGCCCTCCCTACCAGAGCTGACACAGTGGGGACTGCCCAGGATTAGAGGCCCAGGGCTACATGGGAGAGGACTTAAGTTTCTGGAAGAAGTATTAAGGGTCTAAAGGGCAACAGGGTAAAGACAGGACAGAGATACCCTTGAATATACCCTCCCTGCCAGGGCCCGGGCACCTCTCACCTGTAGCCGGGAGGCAGGCTCCTGGGCCCCTCGTGGCTCCCGCAGCATGTACCTCTTTGGCAAGGTGGCACTCTGCAAAGAAATAACCCATAGGCTTTCCTCTTCTGGCTCTTGTCCACCCAAGGCTCTCAAGATCCTAGAAATGCTGCTTAGGCTCATATCAAAAACATGGTTCAAGGCCCCCTTAGGGACTCAAAAGTAAAAGTTGGCAAAGTGCTTGACCCGCAAGCATGGGCACCCGAGTTCAATCCCCAGCATTCACATAGTCAGCTGGGTGTGGTGGTGCTCACTTGGGTTGTTGGACAGTTTCCTCTTAGAGTAAAACTACGACACAGGATGTGAAAAGAAAAATACAACAGGATGTTCTAAGGCAGTGGTTCTCAGCCTTCCTAATGCTGTTACCCTTTCACACAGTTCCTCATGCTGTGGTGACCCCAACCACAAAGTTTCATTGCTACTTCATAACTGTAATTTTGCTAGTTATGAATCATAATGTAACTATCTGATATTTGATATGAGACCCCGAAAGGGGTCACAACCTACAGGTTAAGAACTGCTGTTCTAAGATGAGGTGAAATACTTCATCCTGCAGGGACACTCATCAAGTAAACTCAAAATAGCTTCAGGAAGTTCCTAAAACTGATCAGATTCATTAGGCCCCTGTTTTCCCAAGAGTACATAAACAGTAAAGACTCCGGAGAAGATTCTCCAACAGCCCGACCACTTAGAAGACTTAGAAGTAGAGACTACCCAAGCTTCACAGAAGACTCACACAAGCTAAGCTACGTGGAAGAGGCTGAGACCAACCGAGTCACAAGGAAAAGACACTCTCCAGCTGGGCGTGGTGGCGCAGGCCTTTATCCCAGCACTCGGGAGGCAGAGGCAGGCAGATATCTGTTGAGTTCGAGGCCAGCCTGGTCTACAGAGTGAGTTCTAGGATAGGCTCCAAAGCTACACAGAGAAACCCTGTCTCGGGGCAGAAAAAAAAACAAAAAACTCTCTCCAACCTGCTGAGCTGCCTTCAAGTTGTGCAGTGTGCTCCAGGTTTCCAGCTTTTGTGAGCTGCCACATATGCTTGAATGGGTCTTTGGTGATGCGGGTGTCTGTGTCATTTCTGCTCCTATATAACACCACCTCACCCATATCCCTCTAAGTAATCCCAGTAAAGCTCGCATTGGCTCACCAAGTTGGACTCTGATGCCATTTGCATGCTGAGCTGTCTTCAGTTCCCTATCTAGGGTAAACAGACATTTGTTCACATCTCCCCAAAAGAGAATGTCACACATCATGACTGACACCAGAACAGGGCCAGGACAGAACAAAAGACGAAATGGAGAGAAGCGCATGGTCCTGGAGGTACAGGGTAGCAAGTCATCTAACTGAAGCCGAGCAGCCTACGAATGGGGAAATTTCCATACAGATGTCCCTTCCCATGTGCTGTGTCAGTGTCTTTTTTTTCTTTTTTTTTTTTGGGGGGGGGGGGGGGATGGGACAGGGTTTCTCTGTGTAACAGTCCTGGTTGTCCTAGAACTCGCTTTGTAAACCAGGTTAGCCCCAAACTCAGAGATCCACCTGCCTCTGCCTCCCAAGTGCTAGGATTAAAGGCGTGCGCCCCCACCTGGCTAATAGTGTCTTCCTGCTATGGCAGCAATTACGTGGTTCTTACTATGTATGGGCAGTGAGACATGCAACTAAGGCTGAGCCATTAGGATTTTGAGTATCTGTGAAGGGAATTCCAGATAACAGTCTTCATCCATATGGTATGGGGTGGCATGCCTGCTTGATAAAGTGGGGTCCACCACATGACTATGGAGATGTCCTGAAAATAGCTAAAGCGTTTAGAGGAAATTTTGCAGTTTCTGACAGCACACCAGGGTAGAGGTTATTGGCAAGCAGCGGAAGAGGTTGCTTAGCCATCGCTGTGTGTAGTAAGAAATGCACCTGAGCCGGGCGGTGGTGGCGCACGCCTTTAATCCCAGCACTTGGGAGGCAGAGCCAGGCGGATCTCTGTGAGTTCAAGGCCAGCCTGGACTACCAAGTGAGTTCCAGGAAAGGCGCAAAGCTACACAGAGAAACCCTGTCTCAAAAAAACGAAAAAAAAAAAAAAAAAAGAAATGCACCTGAGCCTGAGATGGCAGCCAAGCAGGAACTTGTTTGTGTCAGGAGAAATTGCAACAATAAAGGGAGATCAGTTAGCATCTTCCATGCTGGCCTCTCTCTGATCTGACAAGTAAGTCAGATAAATGAGAGAACGAGACAGAGGCCTTGACTTGCCACTTCTTAGGGCTTAGAGGCTGAAAGGAAAATAAAAAATTAGATCCATGTTCAAAAGCCCTTCCTGGAATCCAAGAACTTGGAACCCATGGGAATAATAAGAGTGAGGAGGAGAACATGATAAAAAGTGATAGAAGGTACCCCTCGGGTCTGACCTTTAATAGCAAAAAAGGAAAAAGTATGTGACCAGCATGCAGATGGAGGTATTAACTATGGCCTAGTACAAGAAACTATGGTAATCCGCACTTAGACCGCTGGAAGAGGGGAATCCTTTGAGAAGCAATGGCAGAGCCTGTCACAGCCCGGCTTGTGAGGCTGTGGGACATGGAATCAGATGGGGTCAGCCTGACTGCTGTGGATGCAGAATATGAGCAAGAGAACTACCCATCCCTCAAGGCAAAAGCTGCATAACCTGAGATATAAAGGAAATCAGTCGGCTGGCCTATCAGAGCCATTAGGAACACGTGGTCATCTCTGTCTGCGGTCCCCACGACTGTCTGGGAATGGACAACATTCCCAGGAAGGAGAGGCCCTCTCCAGAGGAAGGAGAGGCCCTCTCCAGAGGAAGGAGAGGCCCTCTCCAGAGGAAGGAGAGGCCCTCTCCAGAGGAAGGAGAGGCCCTCTCCAATGAGAGCTGGGACTGCGTTGTGCTTGACCCTCCCCAGGCCACACAGAACTGTGTTCACAGGCGTGACCTTGAGGCTGGTATGGGGATTTAGTGGCTCTGTTGAGTCCTTTGGTGGGATCTTTATGGAGTAGGAGAGGCTTTGGCAGATCTGAACAATCTAGTTTGCAAGGTGCTAAAGTACTTGGGAGGAGATGAGAGCAAACAAACAATGGGTCCTCTGTATAACACAGGAAAGTGTTCTGTGGGATCAGGAGGGAAAGACTCACGAGGCTTTTGAGCAGGCTAAGATCCTGTGTGCCCCACTACCATCCTGTCTCTTCCCGAACACTATTAAGTTCAGAAGCCTATGGCTGGGCTGTGGCAAAAGCAACCTGAGCAACCGGTCCCTTTGGGCTTTTGGTCTCAATCACAGATAGGAGCAGAAGCTCAGTACACAAAACTTTGTCATCCCAGAAAGTCCTGGACAACAGGGTGGGAAATGACAAGATGGTTCATCAGTTAAGAGCACTGGCTATTCTTGCAGAGGACTCAAGTTTGGTTCCTAACACCTACCAGGTAGCTCACAACTATTTGTAACTCCAATTCCAAGGGATCCAACACCCTCTTCTGGCCTCCACAGGCATCAGATATGTATGCATGCATGTATTGGTACTTACACATACATATAAAATAAAAATGAATCTTCTGTGGGTTTTTGTTTTGTTTTGTTTTTTTTCTCCAAGACAGGGTTTCTCTGTGTAGTCCCAGCTGTCCCAGAACTCATCTATAGACCAGGTCGGTCTTGAACTTAGAGATTCACCTACCTCTGCCTCTCAAGTGCTGGGATTAAAGGTGTGCGCCACCACCAACCGGCTAATAAAAATGAATCTTAAAAAAAAGTTGGACAGCTTGTGAGGAATGAAACCCAAGGTTGACCTCTAACCTCCATATACATATAAACACAAACAATCCTAAGGAGAACCAGTCATCAGGGAAATTTTTCCTTTAAAACCACAATATTGCTGGGAGGTGTAACTCCACAGGAGAGTGCTTACCTAGCATGTACAATACAGTGGGTACAATACCTAGCACCATAAATATAAGTAAGTAAATAAACAAGGAGAGAACATGATAACCTGGCATGATGACTCATACTCGTCCCAACACTTGGGAGGCTGAGACAGAAGGATCACAAGTTCAGGATTAGCCTAGACTATAAAATGAGACCCTGTCTCCAATAACCAAACCTAACCAAAATAATAGACTCTAACATCCACCCAGAATTCATAAATGTTAATGTTCCTTTCTAAATACTAAAGGTGGTTTTGGAAGAAGTAATCCCCTTTTCTGTGTGTGCTGTGTATAATCACCTAACTTTGTCTTGGGCTTGAGTGTGGTTGCACACGTGGATGGGTGCATGTGGAGGCTGAAGTGGATGTTCAGAATCATTCTCAAGTCTCTTTTCCCTTATTCAGTGAGGCAGAGTCTCTGATCAAAGCCAAAGCTCACCCTCATGTTTAGTCTTGCTAGCCAGCTTGCTCTGGGTATCATGTCTCTACCTTCCAGGCCTGGAATTCCAGACAGGCTGCCACACCTACCCAACATTATGTGGGCTCCTGGGAATCCAAACTCTGGTCCTCATGCTTACATTAAACATGAAAGACCCTGCCTGGCTGGATTTAAAAAAAAAAAAGGCCAGTTGGTGATGGCACACGACATTAATTCCAGCCCTCAGGAGGCAGAGGCAGGCGGGTCTCTGTGAGTTCGAGGCCAGCCTGGTCTACAGAGAGAGTTCCATGACAGGCAAGGCTACACAGAGAAACCCTGTCTCAAGACAAAACAAAACAAAATTTTTTACAAGTTAAAAACTCTGTATGTGGGGATGCAGTCAATGTACATATGCGTGCGGATGCCTGTCTGTGGAGGCGGAAACACCAGATCCCCAGTGGAGTTACAGGTGGTTATCAGTTGCCTGATGTGGAGGCTGGGAATGAACCTGGACCGTCTGCAAAAACAGTACACACTCTGAGCCATCTCTATAGCCCCCTCGTTTCTTAATGTATTCATATCACAATGCTGGGGATTAAACTCAGGGCCTCCCATAGGCTAGTCAAGAATTCCAGCATTCAAATACAACCCCAGCCTCAGAGCTTCTGTTCAATGAGGCTTCCTTAACCATCTCCCGATAGAGTACACCCGTGGGGCTGAAAGAGGCAGCAGCAAAGCCCTCTGCACTCATTCTCTCACGGCAGCCTGACAGCATGGAGCTCGGGGTCAGCTGACAGCGCAGGGCCTGGGAGCTCCACAGGGCTCAGAGCCTTGAACATCAGTTCATCCTCAAGGAGCAACTGCCCTTCTGCTTACGGAGGAAAAGGATGTGGAAGCTACATTCAACAGTCTGGCTGGAGGATGGGCAGGCTTCAGGGCAGACACTCCCTGAGAGGACACACAAAACTAGAGTGATGGGACATCAATGTGACATACAGGAGCCAAGACCCTGCACTGTGGTCCCCATGGAATGTTAATTCTGCCCCAGAACCAGGGTTTGCTCTGCTGACAGGTAGAGCTCTACAGGTCACTGTGTCCCACCTGCTGTGAGGTCCTGGGCTCTGCAGGCTCTGGAGCAACCTCTGGGAGTTCTGCTACATCCTCTGCATCCTCATCTCCACCACTGAGCATAGGGCCATCTAGAAAGTTTGGGCAGGAACCAAGAAACCAGTTAGCCCTAAAGAGGCTGGAGGCCAGGCAGCAGGTGGAGCACCCATACAGGAGGCTCACAGCCAGCTCCTAGAAAAGCTGGACAGGCCAGCCTCTCCTCTCAGCTTCACAACACTTTAGCATTTGAAAAACTGAACAAGGCTTTATAGTCTCGTCCTCATACTGGCATGCTTTGGTTGGTTTACCTTATTTCTTGGCAAATATTTATATATTTGCTTATTTATTTGTTTGTTTGTTTATGCTGTGGGCTGAATCCTGGGCCTTGTACATGTACTTGCTCATTTGTTTATTTGTTTGTTTGTTTGTTTATGCTGTGGGCTAAGGCCTGGGCTTTGTATATGGCTAGGCAAGTGCTCCAAGTTACAGCCCCAGCCCAGGTACTTTTTGTTACCATTTATGTTTACATGGAGAAGACCCAGGAAAAAAAATCTCACTGATGATTGCACCCCAGCACAGAGAGCCAACATAAGCTACCACTAAGCCTGTTCCCAAAAGCCAACAAAGAGGAAGCAAACAAGACAGGCTAAGGAAACTGAGAGCATCCAAGGTCGGAGTTCCACCTAGCGCTGCCTCCCTGATCCTCTCTTCTCACCTGGCTCTTGGGAGACGCAGAGTACAGGAACAGGACTCCCATTCCTAGAGACTTCCATTGGCTGCTCCTCAACATCCTCACCATCTGGGAGACAGATATTAGACATGGTCAGCCCCATCGGTGGACGGTCCCCACTGGTACCAAAGGAGCCTCTCTGGATTGCCAGCAGAAAGCAGAACCCAGCAGGCCCCAAGTCTGGGATTAAGGAGGCCACCAGATACCAGACCCCAGTACTGAGCTAAGCTATGACCTTGCTGGCTGGTAATCAAGGTACAAAAAAAGATGAGGGATAGCTCGAGCCAACCTATCCACAGTGGAAAAGGCTGGTGGTATGAGGTAGCTTCTAAGTCCAGAGACGGCAGGCATAAGATACCCAGCAGTAGTCTCCCAAAAGATCTTCATCTACTTCCCACTAAGCCCCCACCTCCAAAGCCTTACCTTTCAGGCTTCTTGGCATGGGGCACACATCTGGAGGCTCCACAGGACACATTCCCACTGGATCCAACATAAAGGAACCTCTGGGGCCGGGGGTACATGTGTTCATCCTGAAATCCTTCCGGCTGGCCAAGACCTCACCCTGACAACTGTGTGGTCAAAAACAGGCTTACCACAGAGACCCTTCCCAGGCAGGCTTCCTGCCCTTCTTTCCCATGCTAGCACAGTGTTATACCTATACAAGGGGCTGTTGTTCTTTTCCACTTCATCAGGGGCCACCAGGGCCATGGGCAGAAGGGGTATGATAAGCAGCTCCTGAGGGTGGGGGAGGAAGAGCTCTGAATTCTACACGGAGTAACACTGAGAAGACTGCTGTCCCCACCGCACAAAGGCCAGGACACTCACACTGGATGCCTGGTCATTTTTCAGATCCACATTGGCCCGGGAGTCAGGGAAGTCATCCAGGGACAGGAGCTGCAGGAGAACGCAGAGTACTCATGGGAGCAGGGCCAGGCAAGCACCCAGGGCAGAGTCCACATGCCCCAACTCACCTCATCCTCTGTTTCGTAGGGAGCTCCTGAGTTGACGGCTCTGTTGCTCCCATCTTCCTGTACTAAAGAGAGCTGCTTGGCTCGCCTGAGAAAGTAAAACACACCAAGAGCATCCTGGGAGACTTCAGGAACCTCCCAAGCTGCAAGCAGGGCTCAGCTAAGAAGATAAAGGCCTCTTCCTCCTGGCTCACTTCTAATACTCACCTCTTGCCAGAAATAAAATCAAGAGCCTGGTAGACCAGCGAGTAGAGGTACTCCACCTGGCAACCAGAGCAAGCAGTAAGGACGTGGAAAGGAGGTGCCTATCTGAAATGGTGCTTGCAAACACCCCCCAGAACCTTTCTTATTAGACACTGGTACATATCAACATCTGGCCATCACTTCCAAACCTCCGTCAAGCCCAGCCAGTTTTACTACTATTACGAAATTCTCACGACCCAGAGTGGTGGCATATGCCTATAACCTCAACACATAGGAGGCTGAAGCAGGAGGATTATCATGAGTTTGATGCCAATCTAAGCTATACAATAAGTTCTGGGTTAGAATATAAGACCCCATCTCAAATAAATAAATAAATAGATAAATAAATAAATAAATCTTGACAAGCCTGCTCCAGCACGCAAAGGCTAAGGCAGGAGAACCTTAGATTGAAGGCCAGCCTGGGCTACATGCCAAGCTACTGTCTAAAAAATGAACAAGCAGACTGAATAAACTGCTCAGTGAGTAAGATGCTTGCTATGCTCAGATCCTGAGCATTTATAGAAAAAGTTGGGTAGGTGGCATGCATTTGTAACCCCAGCACTGGGATGGGAAGGCAGATCCTGGGCATTTGCTGGCTAGCCAGTCCAGCTCTAACAGCAAGCTCCAGGTTCAGTTAGACTTTGTCGAAGAATAACGGAGACAGTTCTGTTCCTAGCATCCAGATGGCAGCTCACAACTATAACTCCAGTTCCAGGCAATCTTACCTCTGAGGTCACCAAGCACATATGGTACATGTAAAAACATGCAGATAAAGCACTCATACACATAAAATAAAATAATAATTCTCTGGGGCTGGAGAGATGGCTCAGCAGTTAAGAGTGCTTGCTGTTCTTTCAGAGGACCTGAGCTTGGTTCCCACACCATCATTAGCTATTCACAACCACTTGTAACTCCAGCTCCAGGAAAATCAGTTGCCTCGGGCCTCTGGGAGTACCTACACTCAAATGCATACACCCACACACATAAGTACCTGACATGCAAACACATGAATCTGAGTTTGGATCCCCAGAATCCATGTTAAAAAGCCAAACATGGCAGTGCACGCTTGTAAGCCCAGTCTTGGGGAAGGCTGAGGTAGCAGAGATAGAAGAAGCCCTGAAGTTCACCGGTCAGCCAGCGAAACAAACCAGTTTGAGCTTCAGGTGAGACCCTGACTCAAAAAATAAAAGTGGAGAGAGAACAAGTAAAGACGTAGACATTAACTCCAGAGTTACACATTCCTGGGCACATACACGCACAGACACACATATATAACAACAACAACAACAATAATAATAATAATTCTCAAGTCAAACCAGTCTCTTCAGAAATTACTTTTGACAGTTGAGGTTTCTACTTCTCCTCTGTCCCATACTCCATACATCTACAAGCACAGCCTCCTTGACACAGGTCATGGCCATGTCACGATGGGTGCCCACTCTGCTTCAGACCCAGAATGCTCACACATGGTCCCCACTGTCCTTCTGCCCAGTGCCCCAGGCCAGCTGCAGCTCCTCCTCCTAGCTCTACTACTCCATTCACAGGAGGGTGCTCCGAGTCTCTGGTGGCCCTGCCAAACGTAAGCCATGTGGGCCTGCCTGACAGATCTTTCATTTGCTTCTTGTTGGTCTCCTCCACAGAACCAAAGGTCTCACTCACCATAGGGTGAGACCTGAAGTTTTTCTAAATGATGACGTAGCACAACTGCATAGTATCCACATGTGGAAGGCAAGGAAAGTAGAGCTTATACACACTGTGCCTGAGCTACAGATAATTATGTACATGAGGGACAACAGAGCCCACAGCACACCCGACCCTCTCTTCCTGGTCATTTTATTTACTGTCATTTACTAGCATTTGGTGCTAGGGATGACAACCAGGGCCTCCTGTATGCTAGATGAGCGCTATACAATTGAATTACACCTCTAGCTTAGCCATACCATTGTGTACATTGTGTTGTCTATTATGTGTTTGTATGGGGGTGTGTACAAATGTGTGCAGATGCACATGGACATTGTACAAATGGTTAAGGAAGCTATAGGTTAACCTCAGATCTCTTCCCCGACTGCCCTCTACCTTATTTTCAGGCTGGACCTGAAAGACCACTGGTAAGCTAGGCTGGCTGGCTAGTGAGCTCCAGGGCTCCATAAGTCTCCCGCACCATACTGCTAGGGTTACACCTGGTTTATGCGGGTGCCGAGGATCCGAACTCAGGTCCTCATGTTCATACAGCAGACTTTTGCCAACTGAACCATCACCTCCTGGTAGTGCCATTTTAAACTCAAATTTACCTGGACGCATTGTAGAACATGCCTATTATCCAAACACTTAAGAGGCAAAGGCAGGGAGTTCAAGGCAAGCCTCAGCTAAGAGCAAGCTCAAGGCCAGTCTGCTAATAAAATCCTGCCTCAGAAACAAGCAGGTTGGGAATATGGTTTTGTTGGTGAAGCATTCACCTAGCATACATGAAGCACCACCCCCCACCCCACCCCAACCCCTGCCACAGGACTGCAAAAATTAGACACGGTGATTGACACCTGTCATACTAGCACTCCAGGAGGTAGAAGCAAACGGGTCAGAAGTTCAAGGTCATCTTCCTCAGGTAGACATAATGTTCAAGATCAGCCTGGGATGCATGAGATGTGTCTCAAAAAAGCAAAAAATAAACTCCAGTTTTTCTTTGGTATTGAAAACTGTGAAGGAATCATAAGTGTGAGCCACAGTGAAAGCAGGCTACAGATAGATGTACACCATTGCTGGCCCAGAAGAAGCCAATAGTGTTACTCACACTCAACACTAAAGCACAAAGATCAGCAGTCTGTGGAACCCACCTTTTTACTGTAGACACAAGCTGAGCCCTGGATCAACAGTGCTGCCTCAATGAAGTTCATAGTGGTTTTGCCTTCATCAAAAGAAATGCAGATCTGGTCCAGCTGCAAGAGAAAACATTAGTAAGCTAGACTCGGTGGGCATGCCTATGATCCCAGCAGTTGGGACATTGAGTAGGATTCAAGTTCCACCTACGCTACATAGTGAGACAGAATCAAAGAAAGCAAGATGCCAGGGCAGAAGGCTATGCTCACTTCCTCCAGGGCAGCTCAACCCACCACCCACAAACATAGCTCCAAGTCTACTAGACTTTGCCAGTTGCCTCTGGGTATTTCTAGAGGAAAGCTAGATCTTTGTGATTCCCCCTACTTCCTGGATCCTTTGAGACCAAGTGTTTTGGAAGAGAGAGGTCCCCAAAGATACTGACCATGATGGCTAAAGTTGCATACCAGCTGTCACCAGCACCTTACATTGTACCCACCCAGGTCAAAACCAACTGGGACAGACTCCAGCACAAAGACCCTTTACCCCAAGAGAAGGAAAGGAGACAGACAAATACAGCACTCTCTATCCTTTGACTGGAAAATTGAGGAAACAGTGCCATAAGTAGTTCTCTCTCTGCAACCCTCCTTGGTCTCTGTGAACCTTGGCTCTTAGCCAGTGTTTTGGCTCTTTATACCAATGAACACCTTCTATCATATGCAAGCAACCATCCACACACATGTCAACAATTGCCAAATCTGTCCTCAGAATAACTTTCTCCCTGAGGCTCTGAGGTTCCATTTACAGGTACCTACTGGGGATCTAAAAAAAAAAAATCAAGATACGGCACAGAAATGCTCAAGGTATTGGGGATTGAACTCAAGATCTTACAGACACTCTTCCTACTGCCCAGACACCTATGTCCAACTGTCTTATTCAACGATCTAGATTTCTATAAACAAGAGTGAAAGGAACAGGTCATGCTGGACTCCAAGCATCCCCTACTCCTCCCCAGAAACTGAAGGGACCTCAGCTCCTCTCCTCTTTTGCTCACCTGTTCGTTCAATCTAGGATCAGCCCCTTACCACTTCCATGTTCCTCTCCCACGACTACTGCTCTGGCCCAGCCTAACCTCTAACCAGGCTCCTCCCGACCCCGTCTTCCGTATGTTCTTTACAGGTCTTCTGCCACTCGGAGGGAAAGATCTGAAACTCTAAACAAGGCTTCCAAAGGAGGTCTTTAAACCCACAGTCTCCTCCAGCTACCGGACTTCCCATGTGAGCTGCACTCTCATGCTTTCCACTAAGGCAAGCACAACGTCCCCTCTACATAATTTTCAGCTTATCAGACATGGCAACTCCTTTTACTTCAAATAAAATCAGGTCCCTCAGTCAAAGTCTTCATAGTATCCTAACCTTTTCTTTCCAATCGATCACCCATTTTTTTTTTTTATTTTCCAGAGCTGAGGACCGAACCCAGGGCCTTGTGCTTGCTAGGCAAGCACTCTACCACTGAGCTAAATCCCCAACCCCTCTATCACCCATTTATGACAACACCCAGATACAGGGAGTGGGGGGAACAGATCTGCTCTGTCTACTATCAGTTGTGACTTCCAGCATATCATTTCATCTCTCTGGTGACTTTATCAGTTTTTGTTGTAAAAACTACATTGCTTTATATAAAACACAAAGAAACAGTGCTTAGGCCAAGTAGGCACCTAATACCTCCTACTTGGTATCTAGGATTTCTCCCTAGAAAGCAGAAATTCAATCTCTTATATTTTTGGTTGTAAGCCTAGCCTTTAACTGCTGAGCCATCCCTCCAGCCCTAGAAATTCTATCTCAAAGCATAAATTACTGTTTGCTTTATGTGCTACTGGTGGGTTTTTTTTCTTTTTTTTTCCTTTTTTTGAGATAAGGTTTCTCTGTGTAGCCGTGGCTGTCCTGGAATTCTCTCTGTATCTCTGTAGACCAGGCTGACCTCGAACTCACTGAAATTTGCCTGCCTCTGCCTCCCAAGTGCTGGGATTAAAGGCATATACTACCTCTACCCAGCCAGTATGACCTCTTAACACTGTTCTTGGCATTCCTCAGCCAACTGTGCAGTGTAAGTTAATCATCAGAGCCCATGTTCACTTAATAAGCATTTATCCTGCATCTATGTGTCAGGCATTTTACAAAGCAGAAGAAATCATACACACAGTCTCTGCCCCTTTAGAATTTACATTGTAGGGTGGAGACAGACCACAAACAAGCAAGTTGAAGAATACCTTGTGACATTGTTATAACAAAGAGAATTATTTTAGATAGAATGGTTAACTGACACTTCAGACATAAAGGATCAGGGCTGGGCATGGTGGCACATGCCTTTAACCCCAGCTCTCAGGAGGCAGAGGCAGGCAGATCTCTCCGAGTTTGAGGTCAGCCTGGTCTACAGAATGAGTTCCAGGACAGCCTGAATTACACAGAAACCCCCTCTCAAAAAAACAAAATATATGAATGAATGAGTGAATGAATGAATGAATGAATAAATGGATAAATAAATAAAGACAATAATAAAAAGTTAAAGGATGAAAAGACTTAGTCATAAATAGAACAGTCACTTACAGGACAAGAAATCACAGATACCCTTCAGCCAAGAACAAGCATGGGATGCCATAGGTTGACTGTTCAAAAAACATGAAGAGCACCTAGAGGTGTGGCTTAACAAACGAGCACTTGCCTACAATGTATGCAGCCTTTGAGCAGTGAGATAGCTCAGTGGATAAATGTGCTTGCCATGAAGCCTGATGACTAAGTATCTATGTGGTAGAAGGAAAGAAGAGACCTCCACAAGCACACTGGTATGCATGCCCCACCCCCACATAATCATGTTAATTTTGAAAATTAAAATGAAAATTTTAAAAACGCACATAAGGTACAGGACATCCGTGGGTAAAGCTAAAACTACCAAGCAATGAATGCAATGAAAACCTGAGGGCTTTAAACTAAAACTGACTATAATTTTTTTTCCTAAGATGTGTGTTTGCTTGCATTTATTTATTTTTTTTTTTTTTTGGTTTTTTGAGACAGGGTTTCTCTGTGTAGCTTTGCGCCTTTCCTGGAACTCACTTGGTAGTCCAGGCTGGCCTCGAACTCACAGAGATCCGCCTGGCTCTGCCTCCCGAGTGCTGGGATTAAAGGCGTGCGCCACCACAGCCCTTGCTTGCATTTATGTGTGTGTGCCATGTGCTTGCAGGTGTCCATGGAACCGGAAGATGGTCCTGGAACCCCTGGAAGTAGAGCTACATTCAGGTTCTGAGAACCAAACCCAGGTCTTCTGCAAGAGTAGCATGTACTCTTAATCAGAGTCATCGCTCTAGCCCTGATTTTAATTTTCTAAAAAATTCTGTGGGTGTTTTGCCTGCATGTATCTGTGCACCACTTTCGGTGCCAACTGAGGCCAAATGAAAGCAATGGATCCCCTGGAACTGGAGTTACAGACAGCTGTGATCCCTCATGTGGACACTTAGAATTGAACCTGGAGGCTGGACAGTGGCGGCGTACTCCTTTAATCCCAGCACCCAGGAGGCTGAGCCAGGCAGATCTCTGTGAGTTCCAGGACAGGCTCCAAAGCTACACAGAAAAACCCTATCTCAACTCCCCCACCACACAAAAAAGGAATTGAACCTGAGTCCTCTGGAAGAGCAACCAGTGCTCTTAACTGATGAACCATCTCTCCAGTTTCCTGCACTCCCAGCCCTCTCTCTCTCTCTCTCTCTCTCTCTCTCTTTTTTTTTTTTTTTTTCGAGACAGGGTTTCTCTGTGTAGTTTTGGTGCCTGTCCTGGATCTCACTCCGTAGCCCAGACTGGCCTCAAACTCAGAGATCTGCCTGCCTCTACCTCCCGAGTGCTGGGATTAAAGGCATGCGCCATGGCCAAGCTCATTTAAATTTTTAAGACTCACACTAGCTCTAGCTACTGGATGATGTCCAATCTAGGAACTTGGATGAGAAGGTCTTAAATATCTAGGTTTAATAGGCCTAGACCAGACATAATGTGATACTCTGGCAGTATAACTGACAGAATTCATAGGTCAACTTGGTGTGGGATATGAAGCCTTATTACATCTCTTAATTTCCATCTTTAGTTGAACAGTAAAACTCTTTACCAAAACAGGACTAGAAATTGAACCAAAAATCAAAAGCTTCACTTTAAATAAAACCCCAAGGGCTCATGTAACATCCCAGAAAATGCCAAGAGAGTTTCGAGAACAAACAGATTTGGAGGCAACATTGGAACAGCTTACAAGTAGTAGCGGTATGGGTGTATCCCACGACATGGAGTTGAAAACCCGTATTTTAAATCACGCAAGATTTTCTGTTTTTAAGGGAAAGAAAGCTCCACGCCGGGAACCTCAACACTTAGGAGAGAAAAACGAAGCGGTGAAATAGAAATCCTAATAGTACTGTTTCAAAAAGGAATTTGTCAGACAAACAAATGCTCCCCAACTGAATTACAGGACATTTCGAGCATCTTTTGGATTTTGTGAGATAAAAACCACTACCGTTCCACACAAGAGATCTGTTAATTATTCAGTAGTGGAATCCGATTGTGTTGGGCTGAGGAGTGAAAATGCAGAAATGGAGCAGACAGAGCCTGAAGAGACCTAGACACTGCTGCTAAAAATGGAGGCGTGAAATGCTGATAGGCTAGATTACAGCGAGGGGCAGGGCCACACACTAGGGGCGGACCCTCCGGGACAAAGCTGGCTCAAGTTAAGAGCCCCGGGTATGGGTGCGTCACGACACACCAGGGAAGAGACATGGGCGGAGCTTGAGGTCTAAAATACGAAATCCCTTTCCCTTCGGGATCCAGAGCTCTCAAATACAGTCAAGAGTCCAGGCATAGTAGGGTCGATTAGTACTCGCAAATAATTGAGAGACTGAGGCAGGAAGATTCCAGTTTAAGGCCTGTCTTAAGAAGAAAAAAAGGATTTAAGAAAAAAAAAAAAAAAAGCTCAGTGGTAGAGCGCTCGCCAAGCTCGTACAAAGCCCTAGGTTAAATCCCAAGCACCCCCCAAAAAAGGAAAACGAAAGTGATGCTTCCCAATGTACTGCACCCCGAAAAGAAAGCAGAAACAATGTATTTATTGAAGAAAAAGGTTATCATCCAACCAAATCGATTTCACAGCTCGTTAACGGGTAGAGACCCGAAAATGACAGCTCCAGGAGAACCTGACTGAAGAAAGTTTTGAGAGGCAGGCTGGAGTTGGGGGAGGAAAAAAAAAAAAAAAGCCGAGAAACTGAGGACAAAACACCAGACGGCTACAGACCTGGAGGCGGGGGTGGCAGTGACGCCTGGGTCCCCAGGCTCGTGCCATTCCCCCGCCGCCCTCACCTCCTCCAGATACTCGCCCAGCTGTGCCGCTACGTCCACCTCCCAGTTCTTAGTGAGGTCCCGGATGGGCTGCAAGAGGTGAGCGAAGCGCACCTCCACATCCTCCATGTCCAGAAAGGGACTAGAGGCCCGGGACCGTACACTGGCTCCGGATAGGGCCAGCAGGCTCAACCCGCCACTGGCTCTGGCGCCATTTTGGTGTTCCCGCCCAGGAAGTACGTGCACGGACGCGGCGCGCACACCTATGACGTAACGCGGGCCCCCAGTTTCAAAGTGGAAGGAAGGCGCACGAGGGAAAGAGGCGGACCTTACGGGGCGGGGCCTACGGCGAGGGGCGTGGTCAGGCGTCCGGGGCGGGCCCCGGAGGACCCGCTGAGACTAAGTTTCTGGGCCAGTTAGCGGTGAGTTCCTTGGCACTGGGTGGAGCGCAGTGACCAAACCCGACGGATTCCAAGTGGGGCGTGGGCCAGAGGCGGGGCTGGGGGGGGGGGGACCGGAGGGCACTGCTTTGGCGGACCGCGTAGCGGACATGGCGAGTTCCCGGGTCCCTCAGCAGCTTTTCCTACAGGGTGTGGCCGCTGTCTACACGTTTGCCTTTGCGTCCCTCTACACCCAGATCCCAGGTGAGAGCGCCGAGAGTGGGACACTCACACGTGGTATCATCCCTCCCTTCACCCTGAGTACGAGCTCTCCGAGGCGGGTGTGAGGTCCAGGCCTCTACGTGGGACTAGGGGGCGGTAGTTTGTGTACTGCGGGCCGCTACACGAGTGTGGAGGGAGAAAGATGTGCAAGGATCGGTTTCCCGTTACTATTCGGATTCTCGTCCGGGATTAGGGCAGAACCCCGAAGGGAGTAGGAGACAGATTTTTACCTTTTACTTTCCAGCGGAAGGTGCTGACCCAGAGTTAGGTCTTCTGAACCTGGGGTTGGGGGTCAACAATTTCTAACCTGAAAGAGAGCATCTGGTAGAGCAAGCCCTACCTGGGGTGGGAACATCTGCAGGCACAACCCGGGGTGCGCGGGGTGCGGGGGACCATTTAGAGGTCCTGACAGTATGGCATCTGCATGCCTGGAGCTGGTAGTGGGGCATCTTCAGGGCTTGACTTAGTCTGAGAAGACACTGACGTGCCCTCCCACAGGCCTCTATGGCCCCGAGGGCATCCTTCCTGCTCGAAGAACACTTCGGCCCCAAGGCAAGGGTCGGTGGCAGCAGCTGTGGGAAACGCCAACGCTGCTATGGGAGGCACCAAGACTGGGTCTGGATACTGCCCAGGGTCTGGATCTACTGACCCTGCTGGGCACCGTGCTAGGGCTGGGTGCCCTGCTCCTGAACTCTATGCGACATCCCTTCATCTACCTGCTGCTCTGGGCTGCCTACCTGTCAGTCTGCCAGGCAAGTGAGACTCTTAACAACTTCAGCCTCTGTCTAATCCACCCACTCTGCCTCACCTAATGCAGCAGACGCATGATGGCTCTTTTAACAGCTCCTCTCCCTACAGGTGGGCCAAGTGTTCCTTTATTTCCAGTGGTGAGTGACTCCTGGGCCAGTGCTGCCTGAGGCTGGGGAAGGGATGTTTGCCTCTCCCGGGGAGGACCCTGCGAGGGAAGCAGTCTTAACGGAGAGGAACCCTTTATGATATTTCTTCTCCCTATAGGGATTCCCTGCTGCTGGAGACAGGCTTCCTGGCTATACTAGTAGCCCCACTGAGGAAGCCTTCCAACCACAAGGCCCCCCAGGGTGGACCAGCAGGGGCCTTACCCCTCGAAAACCTCCCGTTCTGGCTCGTGCGCTGGCTGCTGTTTCGGCTCATGTTTGCCTCTGGTGTGGTCAAGCTGACCAGCCGCTGCCCTGCGTGGTGGGGACTCACTGGTGAGGGCCTGGGCCGGAAGCTGGGATGGTCTGGAGGCTCTCATCAGCCCTGACCCCCCCCCCCCATTACCTGCAGCTCTCACCTACCACTATGAGACACAGTGCCTGCCCACCCCGGCTGCCTGGTTTGCCCACCACCTGCCAGTCTGGCTGCACAAGCTCAGTGTGGTGGCCACCTTCCTCATCGAGATTGCTGTGCCCCCTCTGTTCTTTGCCCCTGTTCGCCGCCTGCGATTGACTGCCTTCTACGCTCAGGTGGGTAGAAGAGAGTGTGGCCTTCCGCACTGGCCAGTGAGTCCTGTAGCAGAGCGAGCTGCCCCGGGGAGTGGCCAGGTGATGTGGGTGCTGTTGAGAAAGCATGGCAGGCAGAGGGATGCGCTACTCAGATCAAGGCTGCATGTAGGCTTTATGAAAATGTCAGTCTCTAGGTCAGAAGGGCGCAGGAAGAACAGCCCGCTGTAGATCTGATCGTAGACCTTTCCTGCAGGTATTATTACAAGTCCTGATTATCATTACTGGCAACTACAATTTCTTCAACCTGCTAACCTTGGTGCTTACCACGTCCCTCCTGGATGACCGTCACCTATCTGCTGAGCCTGGCCTCAGATGCCCCAAGAAGATGCCCACCTGTGAGTTTCATCCTGTCATGACAACCAAACTGATGTCATCTGCCTAGTACTCCCAAAGAACCCCTGTTCCACCTCCGCCCCAGCCCCTTCCTTGGCTGTAGCTCCTCAGCCAACCTGTGACTGTCCTGCCCATAGCCTGGCCCAAGACCCTGCTGACCATGCTGTCCCTACTGCTGGAACTGACGGCCTATGGGCTGCTGGCCTATGGCACCGTGCATTACTTTGGCCTGGAGGTTGACTGGCAGCAGCATAACATCCTCTCTAAAACCAGTAAGTGGGGGTTGGGGATTTAGCTCAGTGGTAGAGCGCTTGCCTAGCAAGCACAAGACCCTGGGTTCGGTCCTCACCCCCGGGTTGGGGGGATGGGGAAATGGGGGTGGGGGTGGGGGGGGGAACCAGTAAGTGCCAGCTTGGGAATCTCAGGACAAGGGCTGGGTCAGCCCCTAATCACAATCTCCTTTGGCAGCCTTCACCTTCCACCAATTCTCCCAGTGGCTGAAGATGGTAACTCTGCCTACTGTGTGGCTCGGGGCAGCCTCCCTGGCCTGGGAGTTGCTCGTTGCCCTCTGGAGGTATGTGTGTACCTGAAGGCAGGGGGAAGAGGCTGCTCTCAGCTCAGGCCTGGCCTGACGATACCTGGGCCCCCTGTCCCCAGGTGGACCCGGGTGCAAGGATGGCTACGGAAGTTCTTTGCCAGTATCCAGCTCTCCATCCTGGGCACTGCCACGGTGGTCTTGTTCTTGATCAGCCTGGTAGGTACCCCTGTGGAGAACGGGGTTGGGGAAGATGGGGCAGCACTGAGCTGTTGCCCTCTTGCGCTTACAGGTACCTTACTCCTATATGGAGCCTGGGACCCACGGGCGTCTCTGGACTGGGGCTCATCGCCTGTACAGTTCTGTGGAGCACCTGCAGCTGGCCAGCTCATACGGCCTCTTCCGTCGGATGACTGGTCTGGGTGGACGGCCCGAAGTGGTGCTGGAGGGCAGCTATGATGGACACCATTGGACAGTGAGCCCTCCCAAAGGATGTCAGGGTCAAGGGACCAAGTCCAGCCATCCCAGCTAACCATATGTCCATCTTCCAGGAGATAGAATTCATGTACAAACCTGGGAATGTGAGCCGACCACCCCCTTTCCTGATACCCCACCAGCCACGCCTTGATTGGCAGATGTGGTTCGCAGCCCTGGGCCCACATACACAGAGCCCCTGGTTCACCAGCCTGGTGCTGCGTCTCCTGCAGGGCAAGGAGCCAGGTGAGGGATAGGCCAGGAGAGGGGCTGGGAAGGGAAGGACAAGTTCAGAGCCATGTCAACCTCTCCTCCCCTGCCACAGTGATCCGCCTGGTCCAGAACCATGTTGCCCAGTACCCCTTTCATGAGCAGCCACCCACCTACCTGCGGGCCCAGCACTATAAGTACTGGTTCTCAAAGCCTGGGGAGCAGAGGTAAGGCTGGGGTGATGGGTGGGGTGCCAAGGCCTGGGCTATAGCCACATGCTGACTGTCCAGTTCTGTTACAGCCAGTGGTGGCACCGTCAGTGGGTAGAGGAATTCTTCCCAGCTGTATCCCTGGGGGACCCAAAGCTGGAAACACTGCTCCAACAGTTTGGACTTCAGGTGTGAAGGAGTCAGCTGGACTGTGGGAGGTAGCAGGGTGCGTGGCTATTGCCGGAGTAAATCTAATGGGCTTTTCTTGGTTTTATCTCCATAGGATAAGAGTCCACTCCGGACCCGCAGCCCCAGCAATGCTCTAGCTCAGACACTGAGCTGGGTTCGGACGCAGCTGTCTCCTCTGGAGCCTCCCATCCTGCTCTGGGGGCTCTTGGGGGCTGTGGTGACTGTCAGAGTTGTACAGACCCTGCTTGCCCCCTGCCCACTCCAGTCCTCAAAAGTGTCTAGAGAGGAAAAACGGAAGCAGGCTCCCAAAAAGGATTCCAGAGCTGCCGCTGAGCAGGCTGCCCCAGCCCCCAACAACAACAGCAGTGACTCAGGGGTCTCCCGGAGGAAAAAATAGCTTCGTGTGCTGTCTGTCAGCCAGCACATGTCCTGATGGAGTCAGATCCCCAGAATTCCAGCCCACATCATGACACAGCCCCGTCTCTGTGCCTTGGGCAGTCCTGCCAGGGTAGATGCAGGTGGCTTGGAATGCCACCCCTGAGGACTGTTGGTGATACCTTGAGCCCTACTAGTCCCTCTGCACCATCCACATCCTCCTCTAAGTCACTTTCCACTGTATTGGCAACCAGACCAGAAGTGGGCATGTGGCCTCACTCAGCACTTCCCTGGGACATTGTAATCAGTGTACCCGTGGATGGAGAGGCCTGAGTCTGGAGCCCCTATCCAGCCCCACTGTGGAGGGGATGAGCTGGATTTGCTGAGACTGGGAGCAAAGGGAAGCGGAACCATGTGATGGTGCCTACCTGCCCCTCAGACTGTACCAATAAAGGCACCGTTTATACATCCCCCTTTGCTGGTGGTTTCTTCCCTCTAGAGAGACCTGAGGACAGTCGGCACACAGCCTAGACTGGTTCCTGACCCAGCTGAATGGGCTCCCTCCTTGTCACTCAGTCTTCTCCATAAAACAAACAAAAAGGCCTGGTTACAAGAAGCCTCGGTGTGGCCCCGCCCGGCAGACCTGTACAACGAGGGCTGTGAGGCCAATGGAGGAAGATGAAACTAGAACCACCCAAGGACCGGGGAACTTTCCAGAGCACATCCCTCT